GTGCCAAAGCTTGGCCCTCCCACACTTAAATAAACAGATACTAATGACTCATAAGCTAGTTAAATTTTGAAATCCACCCTTTTTGACAAAGAGAAATTCGAACATAGGTACGCTGATACGAAGTCAAAAACTGATAATTTTATATTAGATATGTATAGGTAATGTCCTGAATATTATATAAATATAATATACCTTAGGCGTATATAAGTATTATACATATACCTACCTATTGATTGAATATATATGTATACGAAAATAAACGTAAACGTAAATAGGTACATATTTATAAACCTATTTATTGGACGTTTTCATTGCATCCACCCGTAATTGATGACGTATCAAAAGCAAGTAATTTATTAGAAGAAAGTTAGGCAATTAGCGCTAAAAACACAAAAACCAGACACGAGGGAGAACGTTATCGACGACGGCATCCATTCCAAAGTCCCATTAGCCGCAGCGGGCATGGGACCGCAGCCTTTGCACCTACAAATGAGGCTACTTATACGTACATATGGACCAGTTACTCATTGTTATGCCCGTACCTACATATACACACAATGAAATTTATAAACGTTCTGCAAGCAATATTCACTCTTCGTCGAAAGACATTAGAGACAGCTTTTGGCATCTTACTTTGTTTTTTTCTACGTTTTCTGCTTAATAATTTAGTACCTACCTAAGTACTACCCAGTTTAATTACTCAAATCAATTTCGGTTCAATCTGATACCAAAATGGAGAAAACTTGAAACTCTTGGTCGTTAAAATTTTCTATCGTACCGAAATTCTTGTGAGGACTACCCATAACTAACTATGCCGTCTTTCTTATAAAGTTTTGTGACGATAAAACGTAAAAAAGTTCAAAGTTTATGATGAAGGACAGTGCAAGCTACCTAAAATACGTATCAGTTCAGACAAGTTTTAGAAAATACACATTTTTTTAATTAGATTAAATTAGCGGTTATTTTCTACATACCTACTTAGAGCCTTGATAACGATACGTATCTACCTACACAGCAGCTGAAAAGCCAAAAACTCGTTCTATTTTCACAAATATTACGCTTACACAGGGTAGATTTAGCTGCTAATCAAATCGGTACCTACACCTGCAAACACGTTGTATTTATTTTATAAGTATTTGTACCTACAAAAAACCAGCGCTAAACAAATATGAATATCGTCATAAACTCATTTTTACGTCAACCTCGGTTTTGAGCATTAAATGAAATCCAAATTACGCGTCATGTAGGCGGAATAAAGAATAAAAGCATTGGTACACGTCGTATGAATTGTGGGAGCCCTGTTTCCCATATGTGAATCCGGTTGTCACATTTTGACTTGCAAAATTAGAATGGCGAACTTATATGAAGGCGGCTGAACAGAATATTGAATAATTTCATACGCCGCGCTCCTTTCTCGCAAACTCATAGTACCTAACTAAAAAAATATGTATACCAAAATTTTTGAATAGTAACCAATTTGAGACAATCCTGAGTTTGTTTAAAATAATGACTAAACAGACTATTAATCTATAATAAGTATTTGTAAATATACTGTAGTACTTAGATAGACTGTTTTCGATTCACATTAAGTATATTAATCACGTAACACGACAGCACGGACGGACTATCTGAGTGGCTGACTGCTGTGCAACAAGCCGCTCGTTCGATGCCTCTACACAGCAACTCATTTTGTGACCCACAAAATTGTCGTTCGCGGTCTGATGTGATTTGTACCTATTAAGTACTTAATCTAATTTTGTAAATGCTCCCACAACAAGTAAGATCAAAGATACCCCTATTTTTAACGACGATTTCCACTTATTGTTGGTCCAATCAGCCAAGTAAAGCAAGCTATTAGATGAGGAATGGTGACTTCTACTTAAAGTATTCCGTAGATGTTGGGTCGCATGGAGAAGCCACTGGGCACCTTTAAAAAATCCCCTTTTTTTGGCAGGGGAAAATCATCAAATGACCTCTCCCGCCCAGGGTAAGGCGAGAGAGAATGTCAAACTCTTACTGACCAAAACCCCTCTGTTCCTTCCCCAGCTATGGGTGGAGGCCGCGGTGCCTCATTGCGGTTGCCCCGAAACCTTCGCTGAACACCAGCCGAATAGGGCCTTGTCTGTGTTGGTCTATTGGGTCTTTGAGGCGCGCGCGGAACGCTACGCGCCGTACGCTCGCGTCTCGCTCTGTTCGGGCGGCGAGCTACCCTTACTCGCCATCCGCTGACCCGCGCTTACGGTGGCCGTAGATCGTCTCTCGATCCCCGATGCCCAGAATGTCGCCTACTGCGCGCGAGGAGGATAGCTCCCTTGCGCGGTCCGCCTCCTTCTTTGCGAGCATAACTGCTTCACAGATAGAGGAGAAGCACGACACACATGACCATGACTAAGGCTGGGCGCGAGAGGTCGCCACCAGGTCCTTTTTTAAAAACTTCAAGTGTGGCATATGAAGTTTTTTAAAAAAAAATGCTGTTTGTTTGTCGAAAATACTGTTTAAAATTCTTCTCAACACCAAACATACTACCTACCTTATTTTTTATAAAAAAACTTGGTAACCCTACTAACACAGGTCGGGTGAAAAAATATGTAAGTAGGTAGGTATAGCTTTACGAAGACAAACGGAGTGGAGGTTATGGAGTTTCTTGCTCGTTCTTATGGAGTTTCTTGCTCGTTCTTCTCCATTCGAAACTACAATTTGGAACGAGCACCTAGCTTCACTGACGAACAGACTGACAGACTACTATTCTATTTTGACGTTTCAAAAGTACCTATTTATGGTTTATTTGGAATAAATGATTTAAATTTGATTTGATTTGATTTGAAACTAAGCATCTTTAAGTCAAGCGCTCGATCCCTTTTTATACGCACCTACTAAACATCATAAATTTTAATGAATTATTTGGAGAAATTTACATAATTATCGAATTAACATTGTTCCGCTTCCAACTGGAATCATTTTAATGAGGGGTATGTCCTCACTTCGCTCTCGGATCCTTTTTTTACGACTTCCATTGCTGCTTATTACAGAATAAATTTTAAAGAAGTGCGCGAGGAAATTAAATTTGGCAAGGAGCTATTTTAATTAGAAACTGGAATGGAAAGTTTTTACACAGCATTCAAGAATAGGAAACGAGGACCATGAACGTAATCTGCTTTACGATCTCATTTCAATTTGAATGCAACAATCTGATCTGTTAGTATGCAATACTATCTACAAAATGAGGAAATAAAGTGTAGGTAAGTTACAAACAACATTATGTACACACAGGCAGTGTAGTAAAATTCATGAGATTGCTTGACATGGGTATTTGTAAAAACATCCTCATTTATATTTGTATGGCTTTGGCTGTGTGCGTGTAAAATCATGAAGAATAATTCTGTTAGTCAAAGAAAATGTTTTCAGTGAAATAACAAATATTAAAAACTAGGTACCTTTTACCCGCGACTCCGTTCGCGTGAAATAGTGACTTCCTGCAGATTTTTGGTATAAAAACTATCCTATGTCCTTTTCGCGTTCCAAACTATGTCTGTACCAAATTTCACAGAAATCGGTTCAGTAGTAAGAAAAGACAGACAGACAGAGTTACTTTCGCATTTATAATATTAATAGATACTAAAGATAGTCACATTTTCATGCGTACATTTCACGAAATATGTAATTTTCGTATTTAGTAGCTAATTTTAATGAAATGTATAGGTATACAATTTGGTTAACGGAAAAACAACATGAAGTTGCACACAATTCGTAGAAAACTTTCGACTAGTTGCAAATATTATTTTAAATAAATTTTGAGGGGGGAGAACGTCAAATGAGTTCTGCCTCCCTAGATAGCGAGTGGGATCACTCAGGGAGGGAAACCTCATTTGACGGACAGACAGACACAACCTTTTGTCCGAGAGGGTGACTGTCTTACTGACAAAAAAAAACATCCCGTTCCTTGTCCTGATCAGCCCAGCACTTGCACAAGTAAAAGTAAAAGAAAAAGCTTGACTGCAGTATTATTTGTTACGTTATAGTAGGCGGTACTTATAAAATTATGTTACGTACGGACTGTTAAGTAAAAAAGAAATAAAAATACTGTTAATTAAAATCAAATAAGTTTATTCAGTATGTTACAATTATTTACACTTACATAATGTTTCAACATCAAGATTTAAACTTACAAATAACCTCGTAGTTAGCACCAGGTGGTATCCTACTAATTATGCATTACAATTACAACTATATTAAACATGTTTCAACATTTATGAATAACATAAATCATAATTCATAGTGTTAAGTAAATTATTTGGAAATGTGGACCTGGTTTGTAGAGATGCACTATTTTTAGAACTAAACATTTTGACCGCTACATAAAAAAATGAGCTTTAGGCGGAAAAATTGATTATGGCGTATGTAGGTTGAAGTTATCCCTTTTGTCATAAAATTTAGCTACCTTAGAAGTCACAATTCGTCAAAAAATATGCTCGGTGTTTCACACATTTTGATTCGTTCTTATGCGACGCTGGCAGTCAAAGTACTGGTCAAATTGAACTCATAAGATAAATCAATACTTAATTGGCAGTAAACAGTTATAGGCAGGTTAAAGCAGTGTAGTAATATGTACTAAGATGATCTTAAAACAAATTATATAAACCTATAAACTTAGTCTTATATCACACACATAAAGTATTGCTAAGTGTAACTTTTTAAACTATAACATATCAATAAAAATGCATTGTTGTACCATTTAAAAAACTATAAAGTTATGCTTATATTTAGACAATTAATTCAAAAACCAATGATAATAAATTTGCAGGCTTTACTAACCCCTTTAATCACGTGATAACAATATAAATTGATAAAGTCGTTCAATATAATCTTTTTTGGTTAGTATTGTCCATTACGCAAAACGATAGACGGCGCTGTGAGGAGATAGCGATAGAGTTAGATGTAAGAATGACATTGCAACAAATTAAAGAGCACAGTATTAGGATAACATTTAGTGTAAGTTGTCGTCACCGGTTGGCGCGGCAGCGGCGCGCGTAGTCGGGCGCGACTTGGTGCAGCCAGTGCGGCTGGATGGCGGACGCCGTCAGCATGTAGGTGCGGCCCGTGACCAGCAGCTCGGTGTAGAGCAGCGCGGCGGGCGGCGGGCGCAGCGCCTGCAGCGCCGACGCGGGGTGCAGCGCCGCCGCCGCGCCCGCCGCCGTCACGTAGCGGCCGGCCGCGCGCGCCCCGCCACCCCCGGCCGCCCCGCCGCCGCCCCAGCCTGCGCCCGCGCCCCGCTGCCAAGCGCAGTTCGTAAACAAACCGCACAGTAAACACTTAAGTACCTGAAACATAACAAGATTGTATTTTCAACATTTCATTGGCAGTTTAATTTTCAGTTCCATGTTGCATCTTGTCTGTATGTACAATACCAGATTCCAATCCGGTTTGATATATAGTAATTAGTTTAAAAAAATCCTGGCACAAATGTTGCCAAGCTATGTAAGTTATAGTTCTCATGATTTTGCAATTATTGCGAACTTAACTCTCAATACAAATACCTCCACAAAATCTGACCATATCGTGCCGGGATTATACTTCCTATTTACTGGGACTTATGGATTGGCCAAAGGAGTGATTACAGTGATTACTTAAATATGAACCTCCATACTCGTATTGAAAACAATTAAAGCAAAATACTAAGACAGTACATTCTTCACAAATATTTAAAGTAAAAAGTGTGTATAAAAAATCCACGTACCTGGTCATATGCCTGTCCACAACTGGTAACAGTCATATTTAATTTCAAGCAGATCGCGAGCAACTGTTGGCGGACCTCACACGCATACGTCAAGTTCTTGTGATTCAAATAATTTTCTTTACACCATTGCTGGAAGACGAATTAATATGATTAGTTTGAATACATAATAATATTACTTTCTTTTATCTCAATATTCATTGCACTATGAAATCTTTAACTCTAAAGAAAACCAACCTTTTTTAATGGAGCTTTACAGAAAGCCTTGAAGACATTTAACAGAGTGATGTGGTCCCCCAGCGGTGACAAGAACTTTTGTTTCATTTTTATAGCTTCCTCCCTCTTGTGCATGGGTGTGTGGAATATGTTTTCACTTGATAACACTGCTATTATACTGAGAGCCTGAAACAAAGTACCAATATTATGACATTTAAATAGAGCAGTCTATGAAACTGATGGCGTTTTTGTTTGGAATTTCTAGTGTTCTTTGTCTTGATGCTATATTTAAAATTAATGTTAACTTGTTAACATCACATACCTCATCCAAACAGTTATATTCTGGTGCACATAGTAGGACTTTCGAATATTTTGGTTCAATTGGGAATGTCGACATCTTTTTCCCAATTACAGTGAGTTTAGGGTTCACCTCACTGTCAACAGCACCTGAAATAAAATTATTGATTTAAGATTACAATATACCAACATTATATCATCAAAATGATTTACAATAACTTTCGTACAAAGTATACTTATGTAGGCTACGCACACATTGTACTTTGTACCTATAAGATTATGTTATGTATGTGTAACTGTGCAGCGATGTAGCTGCGCCCACATGTCATTTAATTGTATTCAATCGCCAATATACCGTGATCGCTTTCGGATGTTTTATTTCCTTGACACCCTTCTGACTTGATATTACGTAGTTGGATATAGCTTGTGAACAGACTTTATTCATATTAGCTTAACTTATACTTAATGCAAAATGAAGGAAATATTGAAAATGATAAGATAATATTTTAATATGTACCTACAGTAAAAACTAAAATACATAATAAAACACTTACCTAATTCTTTTAACAAACTCAGTGAAGCTTTAACAGAATCCGGTGGTGGCGAGTCAATCAACGGAAAGTTGCTGGGTTCTACTCCCGCCGCTATTAAGAGCAACATAGTCGATGCTAGAGGACACCTGAAATATTAAATACTTATATAAATTTGAGAGCGTTGCCTGCCAATCATGTTGTTTGTTTCTCGATGCCCGAGCCAAATATTTATAAAATTTCTAAACAATGCCTATTTAAACACAGAAGTTTATATGACTTATTGAATATCCAGGAAAATTTGGGTTGAAAACTAAAGATTTTTTGATTGAAAGTGCTAATATTAGGAATTACTGATTCTTCTGACTTTACCTTAGTATCTCCGGTGTCTGGTGCATCGGTCGTGCTCTAAATTCGTCGGCGGTGTAGAGCCTGTAAGCGGCCCCGGCCTGCGTCCGGCCGGCGCGGCCCGCTCGCTGCCAGCCCGCCGCCTGCGACGTGGCGCGCACTGCCAGCCGCTCCGCGCCCGTGCCGCCCGACCATGTTCTGACCACATCAGAATACTTAAGAGAAACTGACATTTTACAACAGAGCATAGACCCAACAATAAACATAAAAATAGTTAAACTAGTAATAGTTACAGTGATGAATAATTCAAATCTAATCATCAATTTATCCAGCATCCTATTTTATCATAGCATATATGTATATTTTGTGTTTGATGAAAAATTATATTTTATTATCAAATATCTTTTTTGCATGAAATTTTTTATTTCATACATACCTTTCTTTCACCACTCCAGTGTCGATTACGCACTGGATGCGAGGTATAGTGACGGAGGCCTCCGCTATATTGGTAGCCAGTATAATCTTCCTAGTCCCGGGCGGCGCATCCCGCCACACCTGCAACTGCTTCGCCGGCGGGAGTCCCGCGTATAGCGGGCATACCCTGATAGGAGGACCTGTCGCTTCCTGGAATTTTCGATCTAACATAAAAGCAAATACATTGGTAATTAAACCGTACACATTCACCATATTTACATATTGCAAATTTTACAAATCTAATTATATTAAACAATTTAAAAATTACCTTAGCTATTTGTTTAATGTTGTACATGACTGTTTCAATTTCTTCTTGTCCCGTTAGAAACACAAGAAAATCATGACTAAAAAAGAAATACATACATTACATCAAATTAGAAATATTTTTTATATTATAATATTACTTATATATCCAGTTTTTTAGTGTGACGCTTACTTTGCAGGTGTAGTGGCGTGAAGTTGAAATATGGTACACACAGCAGCATACTGATAGTCCTCCTGTTTCATCTTTGAATGATAAATGGTAACTGGGTATGTTCGACCTTCTAAATATATCACTGGGCAATTGTTGAAGTACTTTTTAAATGAATCAACATCCATTGTTGCAGACATTACAATCACCTGAAAGAAAAAGAGAATACAGCTTGCTTTAAATTATGGCAATAAGTATTCTATGACGTAATGCCTAATCTGGAATGTTTTAATGGAGGAAAAGGTATAATAGAATATACACACCTTAAGGGGATTCAATTTCTTTTCATTTCTCTCTTTTTGTGCTAGTTTCACAATACCAAATAAAACATCAGTGCTCACTGTGCGCTCATGGGCCTCATCCAGAACAACTACAGAGTACTTCTTCAACAAAGGATCCAATATAGCTTCTCTTAACAACATACCATCTGTCATATACTTCACTTTAGTTCTTGGACTAGTCACATCTTCAAATCTTACTGAATACCTGGAATAGTAGAAAGATCACATAAAAAAAGTAATTTAAAAATTATTAGCATTTTATGATTTCTCTCCCTTGCTATATATTTTATAAACAAGCCAAATTTATTGCATTATATATAAAAAGAGCTGCAGCAGCTTCAAAGCTATTTTGTTTTTGTTTTTGTCTACTGCCTTTCTCCTGGTAGCTGAAGGTGTTTAGGTGTAAAGGAAATGACTGGATCAAATAAAAAATATAATCTTAAAACTTACCCAACAATGGATCCTATCTCAGTATTCATTTCTGCTGCAACTCTAAGAGCTATAGTGATTGCAGCCACTCTACGAGGCTGGGTCACCGCTATGGCTCCAGCTCCTTCAAGACGCTGCTCATGTATCAACTGCGGGATTTGTGTTGTTTTACCACTGCCTGTCTCACCAATCACTATCATTGTATCATGCTTCTTTATCTCTTCAAGCAACCTGTAAAATAAAAACCATTTTAATTATACAAAGATATCTTTCATACAAACTTCAACCACACATTCTTAACTTTAGAGGGAAAAACTTTTAAGGGAACCCCATTGCCTAGAAAGAACAATCAACATGGCATATAATCAAGATTAGTATAAAATATCACAAAACACATAGTAGAGCCCCAATTGTTTCATGATTCTGATTGATTCCAACACAACACCAAATATTTGCAACAAAATTGTGAAAAACAGTTTTAAATACCATGCCTTACCGGTTCCTGACCATATACACAGGCAGTTGTCTCCGTGCTTCTTGCAAGTCCTGTGGCGTCTCATTTGCAATCTTACTTTCTTTCACATTATTACTATTATGTCCATTTGTTTCTACTTTAATATTATTTGTTATTTGTTTTTTTGCATTATTTGTTGCAATGACATCATTTGCTAACTTTATTTTCTTCACTTTTATGTGTTCAACTCCATTTTTTCTCTTAATTCCATTTGTTTTTGCTCCACTTTCTATACCCATACAAGAGTATTTTGAATCCATCTTTTTGACTTTCACCTTAAAAAATAAAATCATGATTAGAACCTAACCACAACATTATATTCTAATGTATGTAATGTATAGCTCTGATTAATACTACCGTTTAAATACATACCACGTTCTTAACTCTCTGTTGATAGGTACATATTTAATTACAAGTACTTTAATTTTAAATGTGGGTCCCTAATATTCAAGAGAGCCTAATAGCAAATAATCGATATTTAGTAAGATAGGTAACTTTACATTCTTTGGTTACAGGACTTAGAGCAATTGCAAAATAAACGTACAATAAAAAAAATACCATGAATGGTATTTATTGTGTTATGATAACAAACCAAATAATTCTGCAAAATCATTTCAATAAATATTAAACGAATGCAATATACATTTTAACATAAATGTTAAATTTTTAAAACTGTTTAAATAAATATGATGTAAAATAGGTATAACTTACATGAAATTAAATCTTGTACAAAAACACACGCGAAATGTCATGCATTTACGCATTACTTCTGTAGTTTCTTTACGAGTTTACGACTTCGTTAACTTATACGAATAAAATAATAAGCTAATTTCTGATACATTTTAACACTGAAAGATAATAATAATGTATCACACTGAGCAAACACGTGCAATTATAGGCAGTAACTTTTGTTTTCCTACGCTATTTCTTTCTCGTTCATTATCTCCCACCGACCGCCGATAATTTGACAGTTCTCTGGTACATCACCATAGATTATACCTACACTATAAGAATCACGACTTTAGGGATAGATGAAGTGGATGTCTGTCCATTTGATTACTGTTATTTATTTTAGTAATTTTTGTCTATAGTTTTAATTTTTGTAATAGAGTTTAAAAACTAAATAACTTGAAATTAAACATTAATTATTTTTTGAGTAATGTTTGTTATATTAATCAATAGAACATCTTAATACTTTTCAATCCTGCCCAAGGTAGTGTCCGCGTCCGCGTCCGCAATCTATTTGAGGTTTGTTACGCTAAAAAATGTTAAAGATCATCTGCAATGGCTGCATAGCTAATTAAGACGATGAATGGTAATCCTTAACCTTTACCCAAGTCATTTCTTTTTTTGTTTCTTAATTTCTTGAATTGAAAGTATCCGTCAAAATAATCAATTTATTCTGTAATGTCAAGTGTCATATATGCTGACTGTCGAATGTGTCAATTGTGGTAATGTGAGGGTTAGAGTGACAGTGAGCCTGGCAAATTCAATTCTAAGTTGGTTCTACTATTTGTATTGCGTTCTTTTTGCTACACAAGCATGAATATCAATCTCTTCAAATAGACTTCAAGAATATAAAATGATTTCTCAGTTTTTCAGAACAGTTTTGCGTAAGAAAAACAATACCGGTATCCGCTGCTATGCAAAAAGTAATAATCCCCTTGAAAAGACTTTAAATATCATAGCTAAAGATATTCCTTCCTATTTTGGTTCAAAGGACAAGTCTATATTATATCCAGAGCATACCGATGTAGTTATCATAGGTGGAGGTTACATAGGATCTGCAATTGCTTATTGGTTAAAAAAGAGGGCCAGCGATGGTTTATCTGTAGTAGTCCTTGAAAAAGACTTTACTGTAAGTAAAATCGTACTAAGACTATGTTAATGGTGTTGTGTTGTTAACAAACTTAACACATTTTTTGTTTATTACAGTATAAAAATTCACAAAACTGTGTATCATTGGGTACATTAAACCAACATTTTTCTCTGCCAGAAAATATTGAACTTTCTAAATACTCAGTTGATTTTTTGAGGAATGTAAATGTGAACTTGGGGTATGATGTGGACATTCAATACACTCCTACCGGTGCCCTAACGCTGGCAAGTGAACAATATGCACAGAAATTGGAGCAAAATGTAACAATATTGAATGAACTTGGTATTAAGAATGTTCTACTAACAGCATCTGATATAAAAGCAAAATATCCATGGATAAATACAGATGATGTTAAATTAGGTAATATATATCATTTAATTTTTAGTAAGCGTAAAGAACCAAAGAAGGCATATTTATATATTGCATTCACTTTACAGGTTGCATGGCAATAGAGGCTGAAGGAACATTTAATTCTTGGGCTTTATTAAGATCATTGGTGAAAAAGTCCAGAGAAATGGGAGCCAATTATGTAAATGGTGAAGTAGTGGGTTTTGAACTAGAAAAACAAAAAGATGTGCTCATGGAAGGTGTAGCCCCAGGAGGATATGAAAGACTTAACAGGGTTATATATAAAGCTGCAGATCAAGAAGAATATTCAATCAAATTTGCTATTTGTATCTTAGCGGCTGGTAGTGACTCTGCCCACATAGCAAGAATGGCAAAAATAGGAACAGGAGATAGTATTTTAAGTATACCACTCCCAATTGAAGAAAGGTGAGGTTTGAATTGGTCAAGTTTAAAAAAAAATCTATTGAATATTTAATAATTACAATAAGTGAGAGAGTAAGTCACAAAAATAATGAATGTCAATTATTTGTCTCACTAATATCAATTACTTGCTAAGTAAAGCATAAATATTGCTTCACTTTTGAATATTTCAAACATTTTATCTTTTTATTTTAGAACAAGTGATATTTATTCTATTGAAGATATAGCTGTAAAAACAGGTTTGAACACTCCACTAGTAACAGATACCACAGGATTATGGCTGATGAGAAGTGGTTTGGGCAGTAATTTGTTATGTGGAACTTTACCACTCATGAATGATGACACTAAGAACATGTCGAAAACAGATTATTTAGAAAATGTAATCAAGCCTTCCCTAGTAAATCGTTTTCCAATGTGTAAAAATGTCAAGGTAAGTTTTTATGATTTGGAATGTAAATTGAAAATATTTTTTCTGTCTCACTTTTTAATATTTATTATATTACAGTTAGAGATATTTAATACTGATAAATATGACTGCAACACATATGACAACAGTGGAATAATAGGACCACATCCATACCATAACAACTTATTTCTTGCAACTGGATTTGGCAAATTAGGTTTGTATTTGCATAATTGTTTTCTACAAACATCCATACCCTTTATGTATGAAATATTGTCAGCTCTACTCATCCTTTTTAAGATGCATTCCATTATTATAATATCCTTTGTAAATTTTTCATCATTAGGTCAGCAACAGACATCTTGTAGCTGATACATCAAGGAATGTCTGTCTCTGTATTTTGTAAATTTTTATTATTATTTTATTGTTTTGCAGGATGCCAACATGCGCCAGGTATTGGAAGAGCAATAATGGAACTTATTATTGACAGTCAATACACAACCATAGACCTGACTAGGTTTGGGTTCGACAGATTATTAGTTAATGAAAGAAGTATAGAATTCAATGTATATTAACTAGTCAAAGTTTGAGTTTGTAATGAAATTAAAGATAGAATTGTTTAATTAAAACTTTTTTTCAAACCAAATCTAAGTACCTAGAACATAAGTTATTAAATAAATTCACACAACTGATTACACTATGAAATGCACTGCATTACTTAAACTGAGCTGGAGGTGCTGCAAACAGGGCTCCACCTTGTTTTGATGCAGCACGAGATGGAGCAAATCCTAGCAGTTTTTGAATGTTTTGCCTGAAAAGAAATATAATAATTGTTATAGTTACATTTTATAAATTATTCAATTTAAAAACTAGCTACTCTCGCACTGTTTCACCCTCTGCTCTTCTCCATTTGATCATAGCATGATGTTTTATAGTATATACACATTGTAGCTACCTACCTATCAGTGAAAGAGTTTTGGAAATCAAACCAGTGGTTTCAAAGATACCACCCATTTATAATAACAGTATAGATGATTTTAAGCATGTTTTTTTACAGTAAGTATTGCTCAGAATAGAATAGTAATTAATTAAGTTACCTAATGCTCATTGTACACAATATGTAGAGGAATATAAATGAGCAGTCAGTGTAGTCATCACCAGGTAAGTTTCTGTGACTGAGTCCTTGAATCCATGAGATAGGGTAAAATGGAAGTTTAGCCACCACTCTACCATCAAATCTGAAATAAATATAACAAAAATAATTTGTATCAAGTTAAACAAATTACTTACTTGCTATTTATAATTTCAACAAATACAATAAAACATTCAGTAATATGGAACCTAAGATCCTTACACTCTACAGTATCTACATAATCTATGAATTATTTTATCCTAAATATACATGTAAATATACTTACATGCTATTGAACATACTGAGTAAAGCTGTGAATGCAAAACCAATAGCAAACATAGACTTCATTTTAACTAGAGAAAGATCTCTATTATTATTCTTCAGCCGTTCTTCTTCCCTCTCAATTTTCTTTTTATGTTGTTTATCCAATGAGTCCCCATGAGCTTCTTTCCTTTTTTCCACTGTAATTTTGAGTATTGTGTTAAATTTGACAATGTGCCTTTTAATTCATCAAAGCCCAAGTTAATGCTGGCGTTTGCACACCTATTATCTTACTATTGTGTCTCAAATTACCAAGGTTAAGCTGTATTTCAGCAAAGTTATGAGTGAATTACTGAATAAATAGGGGTTATTTTAGCTTATAAAGTGAAATCACTTCTTACAACTGCGAAAGGAATATGAAGTGGAGATTTTAATCAATTAAACAACTTCAAGACTTATACACACATAGGTCAATACATTTTTCATTAAACTTACATTTTTTGCTTTGGCGTTCAACCTCAACCTTAAGTTTTTGGTACTTTTCTGTTCGGTAAACCAGGATCCATGTTAGACCTGAAAAAGTATTTTTTTAGTATATAGTTACATCTATAATTTGAGTTGGACTGTGATTAGAGTTTACAATGTACCATTCCTATTGATAGCTCACCTTCACCTAAAAATGCAGTACATATAGAAATAAATACAATCAGCAAAGAATCGCTCCACATTATGAATCGCGGATTAGTTATAATAACTAATCAGACCAAGTATCAGACAAAACTCAACAGGTTAAAATCGAAAAAAATACAATCCAGTACAATAGAACTATAATGTTTACTGATATTTTAATATTTCAATGGTTAAATAGTACTTCGACAGTGACTTCCATGAAGTAATTTTCACAAACTAAAACTAGTCAGTATGAAGTAATCACAGAGGACATTAATCTAGAAGTATAGTAAATGTCTTTTGTTAGGTGACGTGACGTTACAGACAATTGCAGTTGTGACAGTGACATTTAGCTAGTTGGAGACTGGGTTGTCATTCAATAAACAAACGTAACATAAAAAAATATCTTGACCTACACGATAATAAAGATCATCGACCGTGGAACTTGACTGAAAAATCATAAAGGTTTTTCATGTAAGAATATGTGACGCGCGTAGGAAATCCTGTAGATAAGATGATGGCCACGCTCCTGTTTGATATTAGTGATGTACACACGAAAACTTGTAAACCGAAGTTTCTTTGTTCCATACTTTCCATCAAAATGGATTTTTGTAGATATTACTTACGCGAATAGAACCTTGTTATTATTTTTTATCATAAAACTACTTTTAATTTACGAATGTTTATTTATCATATCATGTTATATTTTATTGGTAATTTATATATCATTAAAGTGGGCAAGATTTAGAAAATAAGTTATTAAAGACAAGATAAAGAGTGATCTATTTTTTTAAGTTGCTTAATGAATTGTTATTTTTCCCAAAATAAATCAGAAAATTATGTAGCATGTGTCCTAAACCTAAACCTGACCAAAAACATTCCATAGTCATACAGAGTAGAACTACCTATAAAAATGTGAATGATTTCCGTTTCTGTTCATTTCATTCGTTCAATTTAGTTCCTCCTTCCTTTCCGTTTCCATTTAGCCATTTTGTTTGTGGAATAAAATAAAGTTCATTCTTCGAGAAATCTCTCCGCTTGCCAGCCGTTTACTCGGATCGATCGAACGTCTTTGCTGGCACAAGCTTGGAAATTCTGCCAACTCACTGATTTAAAAAGTGTTATATTAGTCTTTCAAATTAACTTAATCCCTTTACATAAAGAGGATGGTATTGAAATATTACATCAAAACAAAATAATGTAGGATTCTAAATGATATAATTAAGTATCAAATACATAGTAATACTATTCAATAATTTATTATTGATCACACTGGTGATTTACAGACTATCATATGATATATGTTCAATAAATAGTGTAATTTCATATAAACGAACAATAACTAGTAAATAAGTGTTTCTACGTGCAAGAAAATTGTTAGATTGTTGCAATGATAAGACGCCATGTTGTATGTGGAGCCTAAGGCGTGGCATTCCTACACCATTGTGCAATCGTCTGTCGTGTTATTTGTCGAAGTAATTTAAAGTATAATAATGGTAAGTTTGTTCCTGATATAATACCCACCTACTATATTTTAATTGAATTTGCATCGTAATGGCGAACCCGTTCTTTACCCTTCTTTAATATCGATTAAATTACGTTTCCATTACCCGATGGGTACTAAGAAAACAAGTAAATTTCATGAATAATTAGTAATGGCCATGGCCTGCTTGCGTAAATAACATGAAATTTATAGGTGCTGTAATAAATACCGTGATATCACGTGGTGTGGTATTTTTCTACGAATGACGTAAGCTTGATCGCTGGCAGTTCATAAGTCGACCATTTTGTTCTTTGTTCATGAGCTATAAATAGACACTGACGAACGGGGTTAATCTGTAGCTTAAGTAGATAGATACCGATTTATTGCAACGTACTAGAAAACTAGAAATAACAACTCCTGTCACCATTTATCCGTAGAGACCACACACTACCTAACTACCTACCTTACCTATGTACCTTCCTAAAATGGCCGATAAATTTCTCAGAATATGATGCGTCATTTTATATTTCATACCTACTACTATTTCTCTACAAAGAATCTAATGAAATCATTACTATTGTCGTATTCTTTTACATAAACAAAGTATGTACTTACCTACCTAGACGCTTAGTTTAAAAAAATAGGTAGGTAGGTAGGTACCCTACGTCTCTTGTGGAGTTGTGTGTCTTATTGCGTCGTTAGGTACGGAAAAAGTTTTTGAAAAGAATTCATTCATACCAGTATCTAACAATGTAATGCCTGCGCACTAAAATACGGTAACTTTTTTATCGTTATTAAAATAATTGATATCCATGGTGTTCATCTTCAAAAATTATCGTTTTTCGACTAGGTATTTACCGTAAAGCACATGATTGCTTAGCAAAAGTGATCTTTGTAAATTCGAAACGAAAGATTATTTTTCCTTATTCTACGAAAACAAGTTCTCTATTTAAAAACTTAACCTATTTTTATTAACATGATGCACGCCCTTTAATTCCTGAATGCGTAGGCAAAGGTACATGCCAAGGTCTAATTTGACACCTGATTTGCACCAGCTATGAAACTCGCGTAATTAGCGAGTGCATCATGTCACGCAACGACGAAGTTCAACTTGGTAATTTAGTCCAAAATAGGCACGCCAATTTTATTCATACTTTAGTTCGACTCGGTAACCGTGCCCGACATGATTAATTTGTTCATCAGTGGCATTACCTACTATTGGACTGACTAGATAATTTTACATTAAGTAGCTTTATTTCATTATTGACCATTTCCTATAGAGATAGATATTTCGATGAAATGACAGCCAGATACATAATAAGGATTATTTCATATTGTAATTTTATGATATATGATAATTTTAGCAGATTTTTCCAATGACTGTACAATTTGGAGTTCAGTCTATCTACGTTACTGTATAATGACAACATCACAACCATTGAACAAAATAATAATTATATTTTCGGCTATTTCTTGGCAAGTGGTCGCAGTGCCAGCTCCTTATCTATATATATCTATATATATATATACCCCCCCCCCCCCGGCCCCCGACTGGATTTGAGGGACAACTGCAATGAGGCACCGCGGCCTCGGCCCAGAGCAGGAGAAAGAACGGAGGATTTTTAGTCAATAAATGTCTGACAATCCAGCCCAGCATCGGGTGACAGGGATACGCCCGATCCTGGGCGGTAGAAGCCATTTTATAATTTTCCCCTTAAAAAAAGGTCCAACAAATCCTACTGAACTTTCCCGGAAATACAACGCAGTTATAAATGCACGCAGTAACTCTGAAATTACAATTCAGCAGTACTAGACTGTTGCTAATGATCGTTTCAAAATCGAAAAAATAATTATTATTCTGCAAGTGACCTAATTTTGAAGCAAAGTGTACATTTATTTAGTTGTTAAATCCGTTAAAACTCGTTCATGACATCGATCCATTATCTAAAAAGCAATCTCTAGAAACGATTATTTAATATTTACGCTCATTAATACATTCGCTGTTGCATAAACACAGTAGGTACCTGTACCTTTTGATGGAATAATCTGCAATCCCCATTGTTATAAAGCTCTCATATTGTTACATTCATATCATGTATGTCTTAGTATACAAAAGCACCTACATTGATAACTGCCCTGGCCACGTCTGTACCTATTTAGTTAACCTCGAGTATTTCTACTGAACATAACAATTAACATTTTTGACCTTTGAATGATAAGCCCTTAAATTATCATTGATTGCGTGTTGAATGTAATTAATTATTACTTACGGGTTTGTAATACATCTGTTTTTTATATATATATATATAAATCTTGGTACTAATTTCTATTTTCTTTGTTACAGCCACGTATTGACCCTGTTCAATTATTAAATTGTTTGGGCGTACTCCTGTCGCCTAGCGGTGGGATCAAGTCCAGGGATGAGGTCCAGAGGCTCGCTAGGTAAGTTTTCTATTTCATTCAGTTTTACTTATTATCTTTTGAAGTATTTGTTGCAATTAAAAAAAACCTATTTGAAATATGTAGGCATAACTTATCGCCGTAACATGCAATTATATATATTATAAACACATTCACATCGTTCGGCGCTGATGAATAATAAGAACATTTTTCCTTTCAGCCTAATGACAAAATTTTCGAAGAAATTGGTATCTAAATGTATTTATATACAAATATTGAAGTGTACAGAAACTGAATTACTCGGTTTATTCATGGGATCTGGGGGCTGGGTTTTAGTACACATGTGGCTTACAGAAAGTATAGTAGCCAAAAATTGGCCCCTTGTAAAAGAGTTGCTGGAGTTGTTATTATTATGCCCTGTTGACATCGATCGTTTGAAGACCAATAACTGCCCGAAACTTGTGAAGGAGCTGTCTAAAGACGACAATCATTTTGGTAAGCAATTCAATTTTTATTTATTTAAGCGTAATACACATACATAATTTTCAGTTGTTAAAACTTGTTCCATAATACAATGACAAAATATAACATATCTGCTGTTCTCATTACGTGTTCATAAAACTCCGTGCCATGTTAAATCAGCAATGTTTTGTTTTATTACAGCTATCAGAGCCTTAGCATCAAAATTGGTAGAACAGTGGTTAAAAACCGTAAAGGGTGAACAAGTCGTTCCAGTAAAACTTTCGGAAATATCTAAAATAATATCAGAAGCGCAAAATGACGTCGATGGCTTAACTAATTCAGAAGCAAGTTTAGAATACAAAAATAATGACACTTATAATGACATTAAAGCTATAAAAGAAGAAATCAAATCAGATAAAACGTATAGTGATGTTGATACAGATAAAAATCTAAACCACTCTATTAAAAATGAAGTAGACGACGAGCCTGAAACATTACCAGTATTAAAAATTAGTTTAAAAGATGGAAAGCAAGTCATATCGCAAGTTGATGACGACAATGAAAGTAAAATTTCGTCCGATACTGAAAAGTCAAAAGATAAAAAAAGAAATAAGGATAGATCTGATGATAAAAGTAGTAGTACAGTTTCTAAATCGAGCAGCTCTTCTAAACATTCAAGTAGGTCACATTCGAGTGATAAACATAAAAGCCATAAATCTAGTTCTAGCCGACATAATAGTAGTAGTAGTAGTAATAATAAAGATAGATCAAGGGATAAAGAAAGACATTCGTCTCATAACAGTTCTAGATCAAAAAGCGACAGTAGTAAAAAATCTAGCGATAAGTCATCGTCTTCCAGTAGCAAATCTAAAGATGAACGTAGTTCCCGATCGTCTACCGACAAGAGTAAAGAAAAAGGAAAAGACGATAAAAGTGAGAAAAATAAGGACAACTCCCTTAATAAGTCATCTGATAAGCAAGATGATAAAACACCCTCTGTTCACAAATTAGGTAAAATACCTAAATTAAGTGATGCTAAAAAAGAAAAGCCTTCCATATCCATAGAAGTGAGAAAACCAGATGAACCTAAGCCGAAAACTGTGAAAACATTTAATTCCAAGTTTAGGAAACATGGATTAGAAGAGGAGGTCAAGCCGCCACCATCACGCGCAGCAGTATTAACAAAGAAGTCCACGCCCGTTTTGCCGCCTACCGTATCAATACCAAAGAGACCATCTCCAGTTCACAATGAGTCACCTCCAGAAAAGAAACCAAAAACTATAGAACCTATTGAAAAACCAGGCTCTATCAAACTAATTCCTCCTAAGCCTAAACGTAAGTATTTTACTATATTCGATATGCTTCATATATTTTTAATGATTTGTTTTTTTCCAGATTTACATTGGTGGTGGCAAGCCCAAGCCCTTCCAATAGTGTCATCAAGTGTTTTCAAATGTTTAGGTCGCATAATTTTCAGTGGTAAGTCTAAAATGTATAACTTAACGGGTTCTAAAGTGTTTTTACCACCTGTAAAGTATTTTTTTCAAATAAATATTGAAATCAATATCGACTCTTTCCGTTTACTGCTTAGTTCAAGTTTAATAACCTAAATCTGTTTAGTTAATCGTGAGGTGAAAGTACCAGCGCACGTTTATTGGATACTACATTGGATTCGACGCAGAGCTGATGAACAACCGGTGCTCCAAGATACTTCAGCGATTATCGGAAAAAGACGTAATGTTCCTACATACGAGATACAATCACCAGTAAAACTATAGGACCACTACAATTAAATGATAGAAAAGCTGGCATCCAGCTGAACATTATTTTATCAGTATAATCGATGGGCTTAAAATAAGTTGCGTTAGTTAAACAGACCAGTTATTTCAAACTGCATACAAAATTGATATTTCTTAATCGATAAGTTATCGTCAGAGTACAAAAGCTATAGATCAATGTATCGTGTTAAACCCCGAATGACGAAATAGATACCTAGTTATACCAGCAGCAAAACATACTTATTGTTCGGCAATTATCTTGGCCAGTTTAAGTCAATAAAGAAGGCCTCGACTGTACAAAAACAATAAATATTGTTTTTATTTAGATATTACATACCAATTATTCCAATCGGTAATATTATTTCTGATTGGTTCTTGGTACAAGTCGTAAATTTGGCAATATTTTTCTTTAGTTAGGAGCGCACTTATGTGTTCTTGTACTTTTTCTGAACTATGCATTATGAATACCTAATCTGCAACAATGGCAAAATCCCTACCTACTGAAAGAACCAAACAGCAGTCTGCAGGGGCCAGCGAGCTTGCTGTTCGTCAAACGCAGAATTCAACAAACTTTTAGGTGGGAGAACTGCTAAGGTACTTATCGGCAGAGAATAGACAAGGAACATAAAAATATAATCCGTAGGTACCTACGCTAAAGGCTACATTTTTAACACGAAATTAACTAAGTAGGTAGGTACTTTATGTGCTTGTGAAATATATATTCTCCCGAATATTTATTTCTAGAATAGATTCCCAACAACCTCGTGTAGGTACCTGCCTACTTCTAATTAAATACTGTGGCAAGTGACTAAGTTATACGAAAACTACCTATGTTTGAACGAAAACATTGGTATCACTTGTTTATCATTACTAAAAGCGGGTTATTTCTAAGATAAGCCCAAAAATTCAATTTCCTTCGTAAACTAGCCAAGATTCAGCGAATAGAATAACCTTAGTAGTAGGTATATAAAGGCAGGAACCTACCAACGCCTACCTATAGACTAGATTTAGGTTGGTACCTAGATTCTTGCGGTAAAAAGCGCGAATAATATTTTTATTCGTAGGTACGTAGGTAGCAGCTACAGAGCTTTACCTATAGTAGGCACCTGTCTGCAGTACAGATAGTAACCAATAGGTAGATACCTAGTTTGCAGTAAGCACCTACTGCGTAAAAAGTAACGTAGGTAGTTAACCAGTATGTTACCCTTTATAATCGTAATTGCATAGGTACAATAGAAACATTTAAAGTACCTAGAACTAAAATCCTATATTCCTATTTACGTATGTAGGCACCTATCCATTAGCTAGGTACGTACTACGTAGAGCTACATGTTGATATTATTTAATAAAATGTCCTTGAACCGTTATAAATTTTGTAAGTAGGTACCTACCTAGATAAGTAGTAAAAGCCCGGGCTGAATTACATATTATTTAGATGTAGTATCTACGAATTAGTGAGGGAACCTCTACCTTTGAAGCATTCTTGCTTTAATAAAGGAAGCATTCTCACACCCTTAAAACAGTTTTAATTTGCAGATAAGTTCGTTTTAGTAGGCTAGCTAAAGCTTTGCTAGCCTTGTTCTAACTGGGAATTTCACAACCTTGTAAAAAAGCAAATTTTTTTACTTACGTAGGTATAGACAGCCTAGGTACCCAAAACTACTCTGCCAATCGAGTTCATTGAGCTACCTCCGTAATATAAAATTAACAATTCTGCCATAGTTTTGTACTTTGTTTCTTCGATACTTCCGATAACATGCACATTACTTATCCACACCTAAGCTTGAAATGCATATCAGGATAAAATAATTTGTCTGGTCTGCTTATCTAACGCTAATGTTTTTGATGGTATAAGTACCTACCAATTCATATACTGGTGTCTACTTAGGCAGAATTTTTAAAATAAAATTTAAAATTTAATGTAGAAATAGTATTAATGCACAACTCCCTTCAGGACTTTTGAAATAATTTACCTGATATTTATCTACTTATCTATACAATATGTATGTTTATTAAACATTAACTAATATCCTAAGCATCCTACAAGTTTTACGAATAATTATGACTACTTAGATGATAGGTTTAACAAATATTGTAAAGATTTAAGTGGATGGCTTTACTTAAATATAAACCTCTAACGGGTAGCCGTTAGGAATTTACATGACATGCTAGATGTTTGCTAACGAAAATAATATAATAGGTACCTACCTACATAGCTTTTCTAAAGTTTAGGTAGGTATACATTGGTAAGGAGACAACCACGAAGTTACTTACACTTACTTATATATATATATATTTGTTAACCCTATTTATATCATATTGCATAATATTCAGGCAAACAGTCGCAAATATAGCACGGCGAAAGTGTTCCCAGCTGTTCGCTATGCACGTTTTCATCAGCGTTCGCACGCTAGAAGCCCGCACCTTAGGCCGTGGCATCAGTTAATTTTTACACGCGATTAACCAATTGATACGCGGGATCTTACGTTTACATTTTTACCAGTGCAGTGTCTCAATTTGGTTGAGTAGTGAAAACCTAAGCTACACTACACAATATTGATAAAAAATTTCATGGAACACGCTAATATCGCTCTTTGTACACCTCGTGGGACCACCTAGGTGTGCAGCGGGAAGTTTTATTTTACTACTGTTCACCTTTGTTCACCTGGGTGTACCGTAGGAAATATAAAATTTGCTCCGCCCACTTTATTATCAAAACTCTTTATATCTGAAGAGCAAAGAGATTAATGATTAAAACATATCATGCATTACGATATTCTCCTCTGTCTTCTACTGATTGTAAATGGGTGCCATGAAGTGGTTATTTGAGTTCAGGAAAAAACTTGATATCTGGCGAATATGGTGGATGCTCGATGGTATTTGTTGAGTGTTAGGTCAAAAATTCGTTCACAATGATGGCCTTGTACGAAGGCGCATGCCTTCGTACATGGCCACCGGAGCAGCAACAGATACGGTTCCAGCCGAATTCTATCTTTTTCCTGAACTCAAATTACCACTTCATGGCACCCATTTACAATCAGTAGAAGACAGAGGAGAATATCGTAATGCATAATATGTTTTAATCATTAATCTCTTTGCTCTTCAGATATAGTTTTGATAATAAAGTGGGTGGAGGAAATTTTATATTTCCCACGGTACACCCAGGTGAACAAAGGCGAACAGTAGGAAAAAACTTCCCGCTGCACACCTAGGTGGTCTCACGAGGTGTACGGTGGGCAGAGTTCTAATATCAATTAGATACATTTAAAAGGTAATCAATTGATGGCCTGAAGACGAATCTATTGTACGTCTCTAATTCGTGATCGCTAAATTATGAACTATAGAATTACATTTATCCATACCATAGTACCTACATATCATATTCCAGTACTAGTTTATAAATTAGAAATGGTAATGTGGGTGAGTCTACCCTACTGTATAAGACGGATAAACATTTTACTTTTTTCTTATTCAAATGCTGGGAAATTATATGATAGTAATCTCAGCGTAAGATTTTCTTCTGGGTTGCACGCACCCAGACCGGGAACAACAATTTGTGGGTCACAAAAAGTTGGTCCAGGCCAAAATCGAACCGGCAAATCTGTTGTCTAGCCGCGCGTCTGCAATAACTTTTCGTAGCATAAAACTTGATTACTTTATATTAAAAATTAGCTAATTAGATCATCTTAATAATCACACAAAAACGTCACTCTGGAGTTTCACCTGTGTTGTAGATGCGTTTACAGACATACTATTTTACATAGGTACACACTACAACCAGACCCGAAAAGATAATTTGTGGACCACACATTGGAAAATTGTTCCGTGCGAGATTCGAATCCGCGACACGTTGTGAAGCAGTCGGTTCCTTAGCCACTGCCCCCCTAACGTGCTGTCGTGTCCATGTATAAATATGATTTCTCTTTTTTTCTGTAAATTGTCAGTTATTATAGTCACATGACATTAATATTACCTGTAGACAACATTTTGGTTACAACTTAAAAAAACGAGTCAGTAGGTGCCTGAAATTAATCGGTGTTCCGAACTAGAAACCGCGACTTCATTAGAAAATGATTACAACCTGAGATCTTTCGCAAATAACCCAACTTTCAGCTCTTAACTTTTACTTTTTATGTAGGTAATTTGTAGGTACCTACCTGTTAAGCAAACTTATTTCATTATTATTTTTATTGTGGTCTAGGCTGTGCGCTGCATGTCGATGATTGTATTTTAAAAATTATAACTCTTCGTTTGCCGGTAATGAGACAAAATAGAAAGTTCCGGCGGCGACGACTTTACTTCAGCAGTATTGTGCCTCGCGTTTTTCTCACAGGCATAAAAATCTTTATACGGGAAAAATAAACATGGAGCGTAACATCTTATTGTGTAATCCACTTGTTTGTCGATGTAGATACCTTATACTATTAGTCAATTTGCAATATAGCATCAATATAAAGTTGTAATTCTAGATGATTTTTTTTTTCAAATTTCCTTGCTATCGCCACTCAAGTTTTGTAATCAATCAGTATTTCGAATCGAACCCGGTCCCCGTGCGCGCTCGATCTTCAATATCACCGCCGCGCCACTGCGTCAATCGCACGAATTTTATTTGCTTATCAGTGTACCTATCTATACCGCATGCAATTATTGTTCAATTACAACAATCCTTACCTACCTTTATTTAAAATAATTATTACTTTGATTCGCGTAGGCCCAAAATTTTCTAAGCTGGTTTAGGCGGTCACAAATAAGCTGTAGCACGAACGTGACCTAGATTCCAGCTAGCCAAAACTTAGCTTGGCAAGACTTACCTATTCTAAAGTAACTCTAGTCGCAATTGTCTAACAGCTTATTCGCATCTCATAATACCTTAATCGATTTGCCAACAATAGTAATAATGCGATGTTTATTCATCTGAATAAACTTCGCATAAATAATGACACGGGTAGGAGTACTCGCGCGTCAATTTTTGTGCTCTTGCCAACGACAGGTTTCATGTTGTTTAGTAAGCAAACATATGTATTTAAATTAAATCTATAAACATTATCTAATCTTAACAAAAGCAAAGTTTACATAACAATGTAAACTGTATTGTAACGGTAAAGAACAAGTTTGATGTAACCTGCTATTTACCGTTATCACCACAAGTAACTACTAAGTCTTCAACTTAATATAGTTGGAAACTTAAGTCTTCTGACACCATTCGACAAGTAGGTATGAGGTCAATGGTTGGATGATACACAAATTACTTTACATTGCGGTCGGTACGGTATCTAAGTATACCTACAGGCAGCAAGTACCTACATAGGTACATACATATTCATGGTTTTTACGTCATATAAGAGTTAAACAACACTAGTAGAAAAGACTTACCTATATTTAAAGTCTTAGCAGTTGGGTTATTGATAACACCTAAGACATATAAACCCTACTGCTGTACCTAGTATAAGAAATCGTTACCGTCCTATGCTAGACATGCTTGAAGACTGCTTATAGCAAGTCACTGAGTTATTCCGACTTGTCGCTCTCATGAACAAATGCTTCATTGATGGCAAACCTAGTTGATATATTTATATCTTATGACATTTCCAGTTGCAACTGAGGTTCAGAGGGTTATCCAATGAAGTGCTCATCAATAACACTAGCTTAAAAATATTCTGAAAAAAAAAAAAAAGGTTTTTACAGACTCATTTTTATTGCAAAGTGCCGGCGTTCAGTCACGATGTCTCGCAAATAAATACGTTCACAACAAAAAAGATTACAAGTACGTTCTTTTCGTGCGAGAACGTACCTGCGGCAGGATGCACAGCAGTCGTTCACCCAGCCACTGTGCCTACTAACCAGTCTCTGCGTACCTATATAAAAATAATTAAAGTAGTTGATAACTAGCCGACCCGCGCCCATGTAGTTATTAATTGATTGATAAATGGTTTCCCAACAACAATTCTAATGTTAAGTTAATTTGTAACGGCGTAGTGTTTTATATGATACGCACAACACAACCATGAGTTATTATTTAAAGTAACGAGTTATCAAAATCAACATGAACAATCACAGTACTAATCAAATACTTACAGAAACTTTTATAATAGATATTAGTAGATCTTGATGTATCAGAACAGTGCGGATGAAGCTACAGGCCGCACGTCGATATTTTTTTCCTGCCGGATTGAAACACCAGCGACATAACGTAGAGAACGGAAAGACGCAAAATTGGCTCTTCCACCTGCGTCTGCCGCACCATCTGCACATGTGTTGCGTGACCTTTACCGTTGACCTCAATTAAATAAACGCTCCGTATAACTCTTATGTAATAAAGGTTATAGCATTCGAAGCTTCATTATCTATCTATGTTGCGGTTAAATGTAAAAAAGACGTAGTTAATTGGTACTTATTAGTTAAGTTTGTACCTACATTTCATTTTTTATATAGGTTCAAGTACCTAGTAAAAATACACCATGAACAATTGGTTGAAAAATTGAACAATTCAGGAAAACTAAAAGTAATTAGGTAGCTATTTGATTAGCATCTAACAACAAAAATAACTGGTAATAGAACGCATTGCCAATTTCTTTTGGACAGTCATACTGGCACTTTCATTTAGTGGAGGTCCACTATATGAAATTACAAGTATGACTTCGATTTAATTATTTGTTAGGTATTCTATAAACATATTCGTATCATGCTTACAGTGTTTCAAATCAAATTGCCAAGAACCCGTTACTATACATTTTAGGTTTGCCTGTGTATTTCTTGCATTTAAAATGTGTTTCCATACCTATGTTATGAAATACCAAACTAATTGTATTCTTTTTTTGTTTCAGCTGTTATGTTGTTGGAAAGTGATATGTTTATGGATGCATTAAATGCATCAGCGACAAATAAAAGAGATCCAAAGAAGAGGAAACGGCGGACAAGCGGATCCAAAGATGGTACTTCTGGTCCCGATGGTTCGCCTCCGCAAACACCAACTAGTGTAAGCAGTCCGACTAGTGAAAGTAAGTCCGTGCCACCAAGATTCTACCAAGACACTCTTGAGACGGAGGAAAATAAAGAAAAGGCAGACAAAACAGATATTGAAAACGCCGAAGAAAATGTCGATAAAAAGGAGAATGAGGAGGACATGGACACATCAGAACCTCATACTTTAACGATCAATGGTCTAAAGGGAGTCCTCTGCTATCACAAAAGGAAGGGCCCCAAGAAAAGTATAAAATGGAAACCAGATTCGGAACTCGAAGAAATTCAATACTTCGAACTTGACGAAACTGAACGAGTCAATGTTACGAAGACATTCACTGACATGAAATATTTGGAAAGAATTCATGAACGAGACGCATTTCAGAAAGGAAGAAATCTCAGTAATGATGACGTCATGGAAGAAAAAACTACTTGGAAGCCCCCACGACCAATTCAAGTTGAAGGACAAGTACAAGTTGAACATGGCAAGAACAGTAAAGAAAAAGAAATCCAAGCAATGCGACAAAAGGGAACATTGCAACCTCTTTATTTCTCTAAATCCATGATACCTGATTCTGCGCTGGAACCAGATCCGGAAACACATCCCTACACGGAACCTACAATTATACCACTAGACGATGTAACAGGCAATCAAGACAATATAAGCGATTTTAGAAATATGCCTTGGCCAGAACCTAAAGGAAATGCACCCCCGGCATCAGCTAACATGAATGTTCCTAATATGTTCCCACCAAACATGAATCAATTTCCTAATGGTTTTCCAAATCCACAATTTCCGGGTGTGCCAGGCTTTCAAGGAGGTAATATAGTTCCTACTGAATGGCCAGCTGGAGTCCCACCCCATATAATGGCTAATGGTATGCCGGGACCCATACCTCCTGGCGCTATTCCACCCGGTAACATGCCCCCGGGTATGATGATGCCTCCCGAAAATATGATGATGGGTCCAGACATGTTTGGAGGACCAAATCCAATGTTTCCAGGCCCCCCAGAGGGATTTAATATGCAGCAAAATATGTTTCCGATGGATTTCAATATGTCGGGTCCACAAGGGCCTCCACCTTCCGGACCAGACGGATTTCCTGGTATGGCAAATTTCCGAGGTGCCATGCGAGGGCGTGGCGCTGGCGGCCATTGGCGAGGTAATAAAAACCCTGGAAATTGGGAGGGTCCTCAGCGCGGTAGAGGTGGTGCACGTGGTGGCCGTAAAGCGGTTTGCATATATTTTCAACGAAAAGGGTCTTGTCGACAAGGTGATAATTGTACATTTTTACATCCCGGTGTAAATTGCCCGTTTTAAGAGGTAAACATTGTATTGTGAAAAAATACATAATTAAGTCATTTATTATAGGTTCCCTTGGGCTGTGTTTATGCGATTGTGGCAAGTTACACAAGCTTGTAAACACAGGCTATTAATATTTAGAGTTAGACACTCAAAAAGACTGCTTAATGTAAATAAGTTTAAGGAATATGGTTTAAAACATGTAAATATGTAAAAAAATATGTTTAAGCGTTTATACAAAATATAAATTTATTAATTAATTTGTGTTGTATTTTTATTTAAAACTAGGTACCTACACATCTTAGGATCTTATAACAAACGCTTGATTGTGCATCCACGCTACTTCTGGCGAATGCGTTGTTAGCTAGCAGCTCAAACTCGCAGACTTCTAGGCTAAAAATACGATATGGAGGTACTGAAAACCATAGTAGACTAGGAGGGGATAGCTTCGCACATTCTGTTTATTATCACAATATTTATTGGAATAACGCGCGGTTTCACCCGCTTCTCAGCTCCATTTGATCGTAGCGTGATGTTTTATAGCCTATCAGGAACATTGTAGCTATCTATCAGTGAAAGAATTTTGGCAATCCGACCAGCGGTTCCAAAGATTATTTATTTATTTATTTAAAAATAAGCACACCAACAATACAATCACCCAATATTATACAAAAAACACAATATGCAAATAATTGGATGCACAAGCAATTGTACAAATTACAGGTGTGCATGACATTGAAAATGAAAGGTTTTTGAGACTTAGGTATTACCCGCTACATACAAACTTATACCTCTTTATAATATTAGTATAGATAAAATAACGGCTACCACGACAAAATCTACCCATCTTTTATAGTTTGCGGAAACGCAGTGGATATAACCACATCCTCTATGGGTAAGTAAGTACAACGAATGGACGTCATTTAGTGTTATACAGCAACCCAGCACAATGTTAGAAAGCACGAAGTGCCACCACGGCACTTTATGCTACAACGATTGTAACGCCTATGTCGGTAGGTAGTACTTTAATAACATTTAGTCTTAATGACGAAATATTGGTTTGTTTATACGTTAACCTGAATAGGCTCCGCATCTACTTCAACGATTTGAAAAATTTGGGCAAACTAGACTCGCTGGTGACCGTAGGCTATATTAAAATTTCAAAGAAGTAAGAGATCTCTACCTACCTACTTAAGCTGTAATAATGTGACTGAATGTTTAAAAAAGTACCAAAAATTCTCGTAACATCACGTACCTACGCTGCCGAAAACCTAACAACAATTTTCTTTTTTTCAAAACAAAAAATTTCTTTTTGCTATGTCCCTATTAAAATAATAGTTCTTTTCAGAACTCAATCCCCACAGTGAATTCTTCTTTACAAATTTACAACATCACCCAAAAATAAGAAAGTACATTGTACCTACGGGATTGCTCATGAATTTACAACTTTGGAATGTTTATTTAATACCGGGCTAGAATATAATAAATAGAGGTAATTATCTTCCTAAATTACTTATAAAATGATAGATGTTAGTACCATTATTGCATACAAGGCTTATAATGTGGAACCGGTTTCTTTTCGGCCAGCTACCTAACTTCTACTCAAGGTTTATGTTAATTTAAACAATATAACATCAGAATACATATTTTAATTTAATTACTTCATTTCGACAGTGATCTAAATACTTATTTAATAAAGGCTAACAATCTGAGTTCATCACATAGCGCTAATGTTGTAGTTATAGACTTCACCAATAGTTAGCTACGTAAATACCTATCTATTGGACAAAGACCTCGGTGTGTGGTGTTTGTCCACAGGAGTATGCAGAAAGTAGTCACGGTCACAGTAGGTACAACAATGACAATGTAGTCGTGGTGACCCGGAGGTTAAGGCGCCCGTTTCTCATGCATGAGGGTGCGGGTTGGAAACCTGGCAAAAACCAATGAGACTGAGAGGCCACTGTGGTGATATTAAAGTACAAGTGGGACCTATGCTCTGATGTGAGTATCCCAAATCAAAATCCAAAAACAAAATGGACAAACACACCTCACTCTGTAGCAGTGTAAGCAAAAAAACAGTACCTACCTAGCTCAGTTAGTATTATAGGCACTAGTCCCATAAATAATGTTGCAGCATTTTTAAGAAATTAGTTTGCTATGTGAATGTGACACAAAAATATCATCTGAAACAAACTCCAAAGAAAAGTGTATTTTTTTTACATTTCCACAAAATTTAAAATAAACTTCTATAAATAATTTTCGAACTTATAATAATTACAGACTTATAAAGATAAGCAGGCGAAACATTAATTTTAATTACTTATACAAAAGAATAATTCATTTCCATTAAACACATACAGTATTGAACGTAAATTTTTTCAAAGATATACAGTGTCAGTCTATCGTCAGACTTCTTAGTGAAGCTATTTGCTTGTTCCAAAGTGTTGATTCCGATGGAGAAGAACGAACAAGAACCTCAATCGTTAGGTAGTCTTTTTAAATCAGTTTCACATAAATATTCTTTGGTACATTATTTAATTGATTTGATTATGTGAGAACAGTGCAACACTAATATATACAGAGAAACATAAAAAGAAAATATCCTTAAGAACAATAGACAGTCCGGAGCTGTCCAGTCTCAATTGATGGTGCCCGTTCACGAACATGATACGTACACCAGCATTGCCCCACTCAACCATAATATAGGGAACCGACCAATCCAGTGCCCGTGCCACCGCCTTTGAGTGACCTTTGAGTGACCATGACAATTTCAAGCTGACATAAGGACCGACATTCTGCTAGGCTAATTATAATACGTTACAGGGCACTTACATTTACAAAATTTATCAAGTTTGACAATAAAAATGGCATTTAATTTAAGAAGCTCCGTTCAAGCAAAGATCCTTTGGAACGTTATTTATTTTCGTGGGGGTATATTATCCTGCGGAGCAGGACCTGCGTGTCTCCAAGCATATTTATCTATACTTTTATTATATATGTAGAGGGATCAATTCTTTACATTAAATATACATAGTCTGGCCATAAATACTGTTACAATTTAAAAATAAACAAAATATTACATTTGAATTTGGAATCTGTAATTTTTATATAATTTTTCATTGCGTTTTCTTATTTTGGCGTCAATAAATTGTTCAATATTTTGCGATATTAAAATGGAGTGGGGTGATAAAGAAAACCGAATCGCTGTGATTGCATTACACAAAGTGGGTATGGAGCCAAATTTAATTTTTAAAACTCTCCACACGCTTGGCATTAGTCACATGTTTGTGTACCGGGCTATTAATAGGTACAATGAGACCTCCTCTGTTTGTGACAGAAAAAGATCTGGCCGTCCACGTAGTGTTCGTACGAAAAAGCTGGTCAAAACAGTAAGGGAAAGAATTCGAAGAAATCCTGTCCGAAAGCAAAAGATTTTATCTCGGGAGATGAAGATAGCACCTAGAACCATGTCGCGTATTTTAAAAGACGACTTAGGACTTGCAGCCTATAAGAGACGCACTGGACATTTTTTAAATGATAATTTAAAAAAGAATAGCGTGATAAAATCTAAACAACTACTGAAGAGGTACGCAAAGGGAGGTCACAGAAAAATTTTGTTTACGGATGAGAAAATTTTTACAATTGCGCAACATTTTAACAAACAAAATGATCGTATTTATGCTCAAAGCTCTAAGGAAGCTTCTCAATTAGTCGAAAGAGTGCAACGTGGGCATTATCCGACTTCAGTGATGGTTTGGTGGGGTGTTAGCTATGAAGGAGTGACTGAGCTATACTTTTGCGAAAAAGGTATCAAAACATCGGCACAAGTGTATCAAAATAACATTCTTGAGAAGGTATTTAAGCCCCTTAACAACACCGTGTTCAATAACCAACAATGGTCCTTCCAGCAAGACTCGGCGCCGGGTCATAAAGCTCGGTCCACGCAGTCTTGGTTGGAAACGAACGTTTCCGACTTTATCAGAGCTGAAGACTGGCCGTCGTCTAGTCCCGATCTTAATCCGCTGGATTATGATTTATGGTCAGTTTTAGAGAGTAGGGCTTGCTCTAAACGTCATGATAATTTGGACTCCCTAAAACAATCCATACGATTGGCAGTGAAGAATTTTCCCATGGAAAGAGTGCGTGCTTCTATTGATAACAGGCCTCTACGTTTAAAGGTCTGTAGTGCAGCCAATGGAGACCACTTCGAATAAGCTTTTTATGTTTTAAATTGTTTTATATTTATGTATTAAACTTACATACTGTGAAAGTAATAAATGTTATTTGCAATAGAAAAAATATATTTTTAATTTGTTACAGTATTTATGGCTAGACTAGGTATTTTCAAAATAACTACCAGGGGGTGATAAGTGATCAATACTGATGCCAAAAATGCAATCAGTAAAATTTTTGTCAGTCTGTCTGTCTGTATGTTCCTTATAGGAACAAAAACAACTAGACTGATTTTAACAAAACTTGGTACAAATATTCTTTATACTCCTGGGCAGGTTATAGGATACTTTTCATCACGATACAAATAATAGGAGCAGAACAGTGAAGGGAAATGTTGGAAAAACGGGAGAAGTTACTCCCTTTTTTAAGTTTCCGTCGTGTGTGTAGCCTTAATGGTTAAAATTAAATAGAAATTATGTATGACAGAAATATTCTACATAAAATTATCTAAAAAAATGTTTTTCAGCATATGTCTTTTTTTATGGTTAACTCACAATAGCACGTGTAACTCATGATAGCTTAGCAGTTCGGATAATAAGCCATCGCGCCGTCGCATGTGAACACTGAATTATGCTATAAGGATTGTTTTTGTGTAACGGTTGCCGCGCTCGACGCGACGCGGCATAAAATATAATAGGTTTTATGAAATATTTGTAATATTTACCTATTTATTAGTGAGATCCGTACCATTCTATCTATGGACGGACGGACAGCGGAGACTTTGTAAGTAATAGGGTATTTACCCAATGTTGATGTATGTACACATAAAAATGAGACGAAATGTAACAAATTTTATGTATAAGTACATACTTCGATTTCGTTCTATTGCTATGGGCTGCTTTTTATCAACACAGCACGTGGGCGAAGCTGCTGGCGGAAGCTAGTTAATAAGTATAGTTCTACGAGTAAATACTAGTTTATTATTAAGGTAGATACTACTGATAATGCCATTTGTAATGAAAACTATTATTTTAAATTTTGTCCTAACACTACTACTCTAGTTTGTTCACTAGAGGACACCACCCACCCTTATTGTATGGGTGGGTGGTGTCCTTTAGGTTGGGTACATTATAAAAATTTTATAATGTACCCAACCTTTTTTTTACTACGAATACTGAAAGGCGCAGTCACCGTTTGTTACAGTGCTACGGTTGGTAGATATATGCATGGTATATGTAACGAACGTGTGACTACGCCTTTCAGTATTCTTAAATTGTTATTTTATACTCTTATTTTATAGTTTTTTGTCGTAAGTAGTTGGATTTTAGTTTTTATAATTTTCATTATTTGTACCATTTTGTTGTTAAAAAGTATTTGTGGCACATAATATCAAAAGTTAAATTGATGAACTAAAGTATAAGTTCATCAATTTAACTTTTGTTGAAAAAACTATGAATGAATATGTGAATTGTATGCAATCAAAATGCTAGTAGTATATTATAATGTACCAGTAAAGCGCTTTCAAATGATACCAAACACGAGATATTTATCTAAATTATTTAAAGTTAATTTTTATACTCTGAATGTTTTGTCCGCTAGAGGACGCCACATTAGTTTTGGTGATACCCCATATAGCCTATAACCAGTGGGCAATTAATACGTTTTTAATGATATGTGATTTGAATAGTTGATAGTTAAGAAGTTACGAGGGAACAGGATGAACATATATAAGTACATACATACATACACACATACATACATACATACATACATACATACATACATACATACGTACATACATACATACATACATACATACATACATACATACATACATACATACAAAAGTGTTTTTGATTATTCAAAATGAATAAATAATTAGTCTGCTAGTGCTTTATATGTCTGTATATCTGCTTGGTTTGTAAAACTAACTAAAAAACATAGAATAAGCCTGGCAGTGCTCATATTGCAATAGTAGTGCATAATATGGGGGCTGTTTTGTGTTTAAAAAAATATTTGTGTACTGGCCTTCCTCCGTGGGGATAATGGTATAAGAGGATGGCAACACAAAAAACTACGCAATGTCATTGTCATTTGACAATTTTTTTACTTTTAAATTTTTGACGTTGACACTCGTGAGAAGCTGGTTGGCACAGACGGGTCGCTCGCTGTTTCATACATAATAGCCGAGTAAAAAGGCCAAATTGGTTTGGAAAATGTATTTTTAATGTTATAATATATTGGTGTGTATTTTTTCATGTTTAAATCTATTTGTTGTTATGTTTTTAACCAAAAAAAAATTACCAATCATTACAAGATGCAACGCTGGTTTTTTTTAGAAGACCCGAAAAAGCCAAAATATCGGCCACCAAAAAAAATGGTCGAGAAACCACCTGAGCCTAAAGGTAAAATAATGAGTCAAATATGGACTTTCACGGTAAATGCGCCAGATGTGGACCCCAAAGAAAAAATGTTCGTCACAGGCAGTATTCCAGAGCTGGGTGAGTGGGATAACAACAAGGTTGTGGTGCTTGACCGCGAAGAAGGTACAGATTTGTGGTGTAAATCAATTACAATTCCAAATACCTGTGATATACTATATCGATATGGTAAATGTATTGTGAACGAAGCTAACTCTAATGCAATAATAATTCGTCAATGGGAAACACATCAACAGCCACGCATTATAAAACAAACAGATCTCCATCCTTTTACTGACACTTATGGCTATCAAGAAAACAAGCATATGGTTTATTCAGGTTGGCTAACAGTATCAACATTGCTACAATTCAAGTTTATGAATAATCCATTGAAACTCCAGAGTTGTCTAGCCAAAAGATTATTACGTATAAAAATTACGCCTGTTAAATTATCATTTGGTGCTGATGCACAGGTAGATGATTCATCCCTTAGCACAGATGCTAGTGCTGGTCCTGAGTGTGGGGTACTTGTGGATGTGTCTACCCTCCATGATGACCCAGCAGTGTGTGTTATGAAGCCACAGGAACAATTTGGCCGAGATTACAAGCAAGATGATGTGTTACTAATTAATATCACAGCTCCTAATATAAACACTCTTGCGTATCTTGTAGACTTCTATGCCTACAGTAGCCGAGCTGCATCAGAAGATCCACCATGTCATGTGGGCTACACATATGTTCTTCCAAATATGTTTAAGTCATCAGAGGGTGCTTTAGATTTACCTGTGACTTGTAATGTGAAACATAGGCCTCTGGGAACAGTGAATATTGGATACTTAATAGTCAAACCTATGCCTGAGCAACTCTGTGACCTTAGCATGTCTTTAGGAAAATTTTGGGATCCAGCTTGGACTGGTTTGGAAGTTGGTCATAGAGGCTTGGGTGCTAGCTTTAAAACCAAAGAGTAAGTATCACCAATTATCTTCTCAGGTATAAATGTTTATACCTTTCTCTTCTTAGAATTGACTTTATCTAATTTTTATCTTTTTCAGTGGGGATGCTATTCGTGAAAATACTATAGCTTCCCTTAAAAAGGCAGCTGCTAGTGGAGCAGATTTACTAGAATTTGATGTTCAGCTAAGTAAGGATATGGTGCCAGTTATCTATCATGACTTTTATGTGTGTATATCAATGAAAAGAAAGAGGGAAGTAGAACATACTGAAATGTTAGAGGTGCCTGTGAAGGATTTGACTTTAGAACATCTACAGAAACTCAAGGTATGAATTATAATCTATTGAAATCACACACATTAAGTCTTATTGTTTTTAAATATGCATATTATTATTATTGTGTTGTGTATTCAATTACTTCATCTGCATTTTGCGAGGATATTTGTTTCTTACCCAAATTAGTGAGTTGGTTGACATGCTTTTGAAATATTTATTAAGATTAACGATTAGGCACCTTATCAGTCAATGTGTGTTTGTATATATTTGTAACTCACTAAAATAATATACATACTTAATTAAAATATATAAATAAAAAAATTAAAATAAATATATTTTCAAATAACAAAGTGTACCTACTAATAAAATTTGTATTTAAAAAACCTTACTCTACATTTCCAAGGGTGTACACACACATTTATATTTTGCTTTGATATTTATGATAGTGTGCTGTGTCTTTATTGCACTGGTGTAAAAATATTTTATTCTGTGTCAGCAATCATAATTACTTTTAGTAGTAGTAGGTTGAGAGAATAAAAAATGTTTGTCAAACAATCAATGGAAAACTGGAAAGGGTTTCAAAATTTTATTTAAAATGTTACAGCTGTTTATTTTTCGAGATTTAAGTGCCTTCAAAGGTTTTAACTGGCTCACGCAACTTCTGCGACCATAAATCTGTCTCCTAGGCGATCTTCGTTACGCAATAGGAAGTTGCGGTTACCTAGTATGGACAATCACGCATTCGTCGTTACAGATTTTTCGCATAAAAGTTTTTGTAGACTTATGTGGGATGAGATCAATGATGCAGCGCTTAGATATGGTATTTTAATACTCAAAAAATTGCGGTAGGTAATAACGATAGAGATTAAAAATTGTATAGGTAAGTCACTTAAAAAACAGGTGAGTTTCAGAGAATCAGAAGTGTAATAATTATCTCTTACATAATTATGGGAAAGAAACTTAATTTTCAGCTTGACTAATACCCTTTACACGCGTGCACAATTTCTGATCGTAAAATAGTAATGTTCATTCATTAGATTCATTACTCTTTATAGGTTTATCACTTACTTGAAGGACGTAATCAAGAAACATTATTTTTTGATGACGACTTGGAGGAACATCAACCATTTCCTACTTTAGAAGAAACTTTGAAAAAAATTGATCCACATGTTGGTTTTAACGTGGAGTTGAAGTGGACCATGGAGTTAAATGATGGCACATTTGAATTAAACAACCCATTCGATATGAATACCTATGTTGACAAGGTGAGTAAGATACGGTAATTATAAAATTCACTTAGGTACCTACCCTAATGTGTACGTTGTCCTTATAACACGACTAACACTAACACGCTGCGGACGATAATATTGATAATATTGAATACTATATTTAACTGTCATTGCGAAAAATACACGGCTTTTTCGTACGAACCCTACTAGGTATGACTGCTCTTAATCTCATCAATCCCCAAAATAAATTAATTTCCCTTTCAGGTATTAGAAACTGTGTTAAAACATGCTGGTGATCGTCGGATTATATTTTCATGTTTTAATCCCGACATTTGCACAATGGTTAGACAAAAGCAAAATAAGTATCCTGTGATGTTTTTAACTATTGTAAGTATTATTTTTTACTTAAATCGTGTAGAAATAAATGTTTTAAACAAATTATTAGTTGACTGAGGTACAACGGAATCGGAATATTGGCAACGTTTCACCTTCGAGTGTGTAGTAAATGTTTACCGTCATCTTATTCCGGCTTGTTTAATATTTTGTGAAAACTCTAAAAATTACGATTCTAGCCAAATGTGACTTTGTGTACTCTATACATTGTTTTGTAGAAACAAACAATGTATAGAGTACACAACTTCGTAGTTGTTAGGTATAGGTATATTCTCATACCTATACCTAACTACAATATAATTATGACAACACAGTGAACATTCGTCTTGGAAGGATGCCAGATATATCTGTATTCCTAGGTAGGTATTTGTACCTATAGTTTAAAAAGTAATATTTCTTTCATCCAGGGTATAACAAAAAGATACCAGCCGTACCGTGATGCTAGATGCTCTAGCATACCCCTTGCCGTTCAAAGCGCAGTCAGTACCGAAATATTGGGGGTCGTTGTACACACTGAAGATTTGCTCAGAGATCCAACTCAGGTAATTATTTTAGGACATTATCTTATCTCTTTGTTCATCGGACGATGCACTTGTAGGTTGGGGACAGATAATAATCAAGTCATACACGCGACGCCTGTTCAATGATCTTTGAAGCTAATCACCTTGTTTACATTGTCTGTTAGATATAGCAATTCAACACAACCCACCTAATTGGTATGCAAATTAAATATTAAAAAAATGTTCTGCTTTCTACTTTATGATGAATCGAGTTTTAACGTGAATTCGATTCGATTTAATCATGAATAAAAAAAATATTAAGTAATCTTTCAGAAAATAGTTGTTTTATATTTGCACGTGACTGGATCACGCTTTGTTTATCTTAGACTCAGAATATGTGTAAGTTAGTGATTACGTAGCACGTTTCAAATCAAGATTGATATAAAAAATCTTTGTGACCTCGATCCATATAAATATAATTCGAAGCGATCACGTGAGCATTGACAGTGTCCAACTCGACTAATGTCCCTATTATCGAGGCAGCCGTCGACACGATACGATATATTACAATTTGTCTACGTCATAATCGCGCATTATTAACTGTTTAGATCAATCATCTGTTTATTAATACTTATGTTGTACATATTTTTCATAAAAGCGATTATGCGATCAAGTTTATCATATCTCTATATAACAACAGCACAATTAATTGTGTTGGTGATAGATACGTGAACCTTTCACCCATCGTCGTTGAAGCTTACTACAGTACCTATAGAATAGAAATTAACAAGCTGATGACACATAAGAAATAATATGTATATGTAGGATCCGTTTGTGTCAGTTCTCTGTGGATATTGTCCAGTCATATGTTCGACTGATCTTTGTACCGACGAATGACACATGATATTTAGGCTATTCTAACAAAGCATTCACCCGTGGAGTTTCGAATGTTCAAACCATTTGTCTGAGCCGTAGTTTTTTCGGGAAAATGTCTCACCAGAAGAACATTGTCTCTCAATTAAATAGATTTTTACGTACTTAGTCAATAACACAGCGCAGACACGAAATAAATTTTAGAATGCAGCGAGCTCCAAATTTGGCGCTATTCTTATTTCCTCCTAATTATATTCATGTAATATTAATGTCTGAGAGTGTGTGGTGAGTATAGATCACGACGATCTCGAACTCTCTGGAGTGATACAGATAATTGTTTTAATCTACCATACAATCACAGTTTTTAGGCTAGTAACAGATTTTTTATCGAAATCAGAACATTCATTTTGCGCGATTTGATAACAGGTATTTAGGCAGAACGACAAAATAGAAGTGATATATTGAGATATTATTATTGATAGGTTTACCCAGTGCCTTGGCACCTATAAATAAAATAAATAAATAAATAAAAATATTTTCGTAATATATTTATAGGCAAATCTAACGCAAATAATGATTTAATGCCATTAAAATGTATGACTTGTGTTCTAATTGTAAATAAATTGTTATTAATTACTCTTTATCAACACGGCGACAAAGCATTCGGCACTGCTTTTTTCACAGTCGGCAAACGAGCTGACGTATTACCTGATGGTAAGCAACCTACGCCGGCCATAGACACTCGTGATTCCAAAAAAGTTACTACAAGTGCGTTGCGTGCGGGTTATTAGGGATTGGGCTTCCAGTAAAGTCACTATCACGGCGAAACATAACGTAAATATTGCCTCACGCCGGTATTCTGTGAGGCCGTAGCATCACGCTGGTCGAGCCGACCCATTCGTGCCGTAGCATGGCTCGCCCATACTGGTATAGCATATCTGTTAGAATAGCTACTAGATTTGGAAAACTGTTGTTAGAATTACTATGTACTGCTAACTGTTTACTGACGACTGCAATACTAGAGAAGCTACTATTGTGTGGTCAGCATTTTTATTGCCCTGCCGCCGGTAACTTCACTCGGTGAAACACAAAGCAAGAGTATCCTAATTAATTATAAATCATCACAAATAATGACATCTTGTAGTACTTCCTATACCTACAATTGTAATTTGTTTCATTTTGGCGACTTTTAGTCAACAAAATTCCCGATTCTATGTTAATTGCACTAAGTGTTACAGGTGAAGCTCGCAACAGACGCTGGTTTGATCATATTCTGTTGGGGTGATGACATAGTAAACAAAAGCGTCGTCAAGAAACTCAAAGATATGGGATTACATGCGGTCATATACGACAAGCTAGACCAGTACACCACTAAAGATGTGAAGGTAACACAATACATTGCTTTTTTCAGTACTTAGGTATAGAAATGTATAGAAGCCAGCTCATCAAGTTACCCTAAATTAACCATTCGTATTATTTTTATAAATTTGAAATGTTCATTAAAATAAAGCAGGGCAGTTAAATATTTAAGAATTACTTTTGTAATTACATGCGGGCCAGTTTATAAAGGATTTTGATACTTTGGGTTAGCTTGGCGCGCTGGAACCTACTTGTAAATCAGTGAGACATAATCAGCTGTTGGTATAAACTTGGATAGAATATCGCATTTCTACGCTGCCCACCATATATTGAGATTATAGTTTGTAGTTTTCAAAGTGTCAGTACTTATTTTTACTAGCAGTTAATATTTGTAGCGTAATTGAGTAGTAGATTTTTCTTTTTTTTATTATTACTTAATTATAATATAAAGGAAATATGTTTGGTTCAATTTCCCATACCTTATTGATGAAATGTGTGTTGCATAGCAGACAAAAGTTATAGAATATCGTCTACAACATTAGCATTTGCATATCATGAAACTTTAATTTGTAAAACGGGACGTTTAGTCAACCAAAATAAGTATGAAAAAACTATGGTTTTGGTGATTCATTGCATTAACCGATGCTGAGTAAGCAATGGATCCCAACTATGAGAGTGAGGGGTGACAACGGCAATAGAATTATGCAAATATTTCGTTCTTAATAATGCAGCTTCTAAAAAGAAGTATTTTAAACAGCTTGTATACTAATTTTAATAGCTTCTTAAAACTAGTTATAATAAAATACCAGAACATCTCTTTATGTCTCACTTTTCAATTATTCGGTTTCACACTACGTCCGATCCGCATGCTATCCGAAACCGTGAAAATACGGGTCTGAAAAATGCGGATATTATTTCACGCACTAGTTTGATCCGAATTAATATATTGGTTATGACTACGTTAGTCCAATATTGATATTCTCTAAAATTTCGATTTTAGAATGACGAAAAGACATCGGATGACCGATATAGTGCGTAAATTACCAAAGAAATAATTTTACGGTTTCAATGGGTACCAGCAATAATTAATATTTTATTTACCTATATGTATTTATTAATATCATTGTATCCCAGCTACCTCGGTGTCAGACATTTGCCTATTTGTTTGCGTATCTCTACTGCACCGAACGGCTTACTATTTCGCCAATTGTCCCCTCTAATTCCGGATAAGTAAACATTATAATCTTTTTTTTTGTTTTTTTGATTATTACGCGACGCCAATAGACAAATCGGTTAAGTAGACCCAGAGATAACTCCCAACAAAGTTACAAAACTCATAAAACCTCCACTCCTACCTCTTTATAAGTAGGTATCTAGATGATTAGTTTAGTTAATGAAGGAAGCAGTGATGTTAAAACTTAACATTGTATGTATTATTATTAACTTTGTAAATTCACTTTCCAATCGTGTGTGGCTAATCAATTAACGCATCCAGTGCCCCCGACGTGAGGTGCGTCGAGGGCACACAGAGTAGCGTAAGGAAACGCACATACGCGTCGGGGGCACTGGATGCGTTAATAGCATTTTAACTTTTTTTATTTATTATACAAATCTATTATAACCTAACACTGTACTCCAACACCATCTATGAATAAGCAACCGACGTACGTCATTAAAAGTTACATTATTTTGTCTATTCTTACTCTTTTTAATGTGTTGTGGCAAAACAGGAAAGCATATTTCTAGTAGAAGCGCGAGAATCGCAGCGGGAATTGATGCGGCAAGCTGCGCTCGAAGACGAGGCTTCTGCCAAGCCTTCTAGCTCGGAACTTGAGCAATATGTCGTGGATCTAAAAGATCGACCATTCCTCAACCTTAGCGCTCGAGAGACGATTGACGACCGGTCAACCGCTACGTCGCTAGAATCAATAGTATGCACAGAGGACGCTAGAACAGAACATGATACAGACATCATAGAGCCTATCCGTAAAGAAGATCAAGTCAAAGACCGAGCTAAAAGTATAAAACCATATCCGTATCCGTGCGATACGTCTAAGCTGCTGCCAAGTAAGAAGAAACGTAGAAATTAAATATAGATTTATTTTAATCCTAGCAAATTATCTAGATCCCAGTATACTTGCTCAAATTTTATATTGAACAATACACTACCCACGGTTTATATCTGTTTTATGTAACCAAAATAGTCATAGGTAGTTCGTTTGATACATTACGTGTTAAGCAAAATGATTTATAAAATCAATTGCTTTGTGCACGAGAGCTGTAGTTATGTATAGCTACGAATTTATTTTTGATAATGAATGTAGTATTAAATTATTGTTATTTTAGTTTGTCTGTCTGTGTTTAAAATAGTTGTTGAAATTTGAGAAACGGCAAAATGTTTAAAATACAGGTATATAATATGAATAGTATAATATAATCTATATTGTAGTATGAAATGAACAAGCTTGAATAAAACAATGACTCGAGCAGGCTTTCGAACACATGACACCCGAATTATTGTGCCGTTGTTGCTTTCTCAAACTGTAATAATGTTTGAATTAAATGTGTTAAAATACTGTAAAATTTACATTATAATATGAATATTTTAGTATCTGTACGAGTATAATTATTTTTATTGGATCACATTTAATATTTCACACATTGATATAATAATATGTCACCTGCCTAAACACAATATACTTATCCATTTTATTCTTTAGGATAGGTTTCTATATAAAATAGTTGTTCAATCAAATATGTTATAATGCCATAACTTCAACCGTTTTGTAATATTCAAACTCAAGCGCCATTATTTACTTATTTCGAAAGAAAATATAAATATTTAACTCGAGGCTATGTTTAGATGTTTTCTGTGATATAATTTTTAATATTGTAAAATCAACAAGTTCCCGTGAAAGAAACATGTTAACCATATATACATAAACTTTTATTAGGTACCTAAAGATAAGTGGCAAACGTAATTTTTATTTTATATTTTCATAAATATAATTTTAAATAAATAAGTAATGTTTCTGAGATTCAATTTCGTGTTTTATTTGAAGAACCCTTTTGTTCACAATTTAGGTGATCATTTTTCAGAACATTAATCAGTGAAATAAAATGCCCGTGATCAATACACCAGTAACATCCATATTTGTTGTGGTTTTGGATCGATAAGATATCCTTTAGAATTTATTTTTTCACTGTTTTAATCTATGGTTTTCTGTAACATGTCTGCACACAGGATCAAGCTGATTCTTCATAAAGGTATCGGATCTACGTAGATAGTGAATTGTGGTTATATTAAATTACAAAATCGTTATGCTTTTCCATTAACACTTAGAAGTTTCATTTAAATTGTAGAAGTCGCGTTAAGCTTAATTTTGTTTACTAACTGTACTTAGTCAAATTAGCAGATGCTTGGATTTACTCTAAATGACACCTTTTCACTCGGCATATAGCCCGAAATATATTACTATGACGTAAGGATTGCCACGGCGCCAGTAGGCGACACCACACGACACGCAAGTTCGTTTCCAATCATAGTAAATTCAATAATCAATAAAACATAATATAGGTTTCTGGCGTGACACCTGACAAGACAAGCCACTCCATAGAAATATATTTCGGGCCAGGACGTGACGAGTGGTAGTTCTACGATTATTTCCTGTTATTAGGATTCAAGACTAGTGATAGCAATCGATTAACTAAATTTTAACAATTTGCTCCTTTGAAAAAAGCTGGAACTGTGAAAATCATCATATATGGACTATCGTTCTTCTCTGATCTGAACAAAAAAACTATAGCATTTATCTAAACTTCAAGTAGATACACACTTTTTATGGTCTTGTAATATAGCATTGTAATACCTACTTACTACACAAAAAAGGTAAGGCTTTCGTCAGTCAGCTATAAATAATAATTTCAACCTTTAATATTTGGCGCACACAAAAAATATATAAAATTTTCTAATAAACGAAAAAATCTCAACTAGTTTTAAATCACAACGAGACTCTTAATCATAAGCAAGCGAGTATGAGGGCGCAGCACAGCCGGCATCGCGTGCTTACTTGACTCCCGCAGTGTCTTGAAACTAGTAGAGCTTTTTTCTCAATTAATTCACGTTATTAAGTCGTTTTTTAATTATAACAAAACAAGACATTGGTTCTATATTTAGTATGTCTCTCAATAGTGACTATTTAAAAAAAATACTGCCTGGTACTGATTTATAATGGCCCTTGGCACAGGCACATACCAAATATTCAATCGTTGTTAATGGAAATATTATTGGTATCAATGGCAAAAAACTTGGGACGTAGTTAATGTTTTACTGATCACTGCTTGTGTTTAGGTAGGTACCTGTATCTGATAGCAATTGGTACCTGCGTAGAAAATTAAATAATTATTATGTAAGTACTTAATCGATTCTTTGTGCCTTATGTATTCTACCTTCTAAACTCCCAACTCCATTCGGATCAGTCAGATTCATGCTAATGAGTTAATTTCTACAGAAGTCTTCAGCTAGAATACCTACTTTCATTTGTTATTAATGTTTATAGGATTTTCAATTTTATAATTATGCAAACAATAAAGTACCTACCTACCTACTAATAGATATTAGTGATGTAACGAATATTCTCATTCGCATTCGCGAATATCCGCATATTTTTCAATATTCGCATTCGCAAAAATTATGCGAATATTTAGCGAATGTTTTTGATAATCAAAAAGAAAATTATTATATGCATGTATATGAAATAATGATACAATAGATCACACTTAGATATTTTTACCCGACTGCCAAAGAAGGAGGGTAATGTTTTTCGAGTGTATGTAAGTATGTATGTATGTCTTTTCCTTTGTGACCTCCTGTAGCCTAAACGGCTTGATGGATTTTGATGTATGAGGTATCGTTAGATTTGTCTTGATTACGGGAGTGTCATAGGATACATTTTATCCTAAAAGTCCCACGGGATAAAGACATAATAATATTTTTTCTAAATTTCCCTTTAAAAAAATATGTATGCGGTATCATTAGATTCATTTCAATCACGGGAGTAACGTTAAATAAAAACAGCTAAAAAGTTATAAATAAAAAAATTATTATTAAAAAAACAAAATACCCGACTGCACACTAAAAAAAGAGTAAAACAAGCCCCACAATACAAATTTACTGAATATAATTTATAAATGTTGATGGAAAGCATCGCAGGCGGGGACCACCTTGACCGCCACCAACGAAAATTCTGCTAAATGGTGCACAACAGAAATGACTATAAATAAGCCTCTGTTGGTCCCCGCCTGCGATGCTTTCCATCAACATTTATAAATTATATTCAGTAAATTTGTATTGTGGGGCTTGTTTTACTCTTTTTTTAGTGTGCAGTCGGGTATTTTGTTTTTTTAATAATAATTTTTTTTTATTAAATCATACTTCTACATTCTAAAAAAATATCATTTATGGGAAAATAACTTCTTGAGATCTGATCAAATCTAACATTAATCAGCCTTGTTAGTTAGTTGTACTATGTAAGGTTTGCATTCATTTAGTAGTACATTATTACTTTACTACTATTTTTAAATAAAGTATACAATTTCTGTATACCAAATAACAAAAATTAAACTTAAAATATTTAATGTAAAAAAATAATAATATAAAAAATAGTTTGATTGTCTGTCACAAATAAACTATTTTTTACTTTATGTTTTAAGTATAACCTTTGACTTTAAATGTATATTTTTACATTCCACTTTATAAATGTATCTGAGGAATTAAATATATTTATACCTAATGATATTCATTCATATATAAACTTAAAAAACATACATTATTTAATATTTTTAAATTAACCAAAGCCCGCTCGACTATGTTCAATTTAAACATGGCCGACACGAAGCGTCAAAGCTGTCAAACACTTTACGCGCGCTTTATTTGAAATTTTAAAATATTCGCATTCGCGAATGTTGAAGATAAATATTCATAATTCGAAAAATTCAACATTCGTTACATCACTAATACATATAGGAGTTGTCAGAAAGGATTAGGTTCCCAGCTGCATCTGTATCTACTTATCTACACTGAAAAGTGTAACAAATGGGTGCTGGCAACAAATGCAAGGGGATGCAGTTGCACTTGCCGTAATAAAAAGAAACAATTTATACAGACAGAAACACATTCTTAGGTTGAGAATAAAATTACAGCAATTTAGAAGCATCCGTAAAGGCGACGGCTTTAAAAAACTCGTAACATCTCAAAATCGATCATGGCTAAGGATTTTTCGATGTTTAGTTTCTCAATATTTTTTATTTTAATATACAAAGGTTCTAATAAAACAAACTCTTTATTTCTCCCTCGGCGTGTAAGTGCATCTTCTTGCACACTAGATACAGTCAACAAAATTCAACTCATGCCTAGTCTGCTAGATTTAGTTTCTACTCCAAAAAATACTATAACTTTACCACAATTTATTATTTGAATAATGTCCTTAATGAATTGTTACTTTTTTTCATAATAACAGAAATGAAAGCCGAAAGAAGCATAGCGCTTCTTATGGATTAATGGTTACATCAAGTATTGGATATTGACGACTCAGATCTCCTGTCCCAACCAGCTTCTCCTACGTACCTACCTAACCTAAATTGGTCAATAATTGCATTGCAACGATATAGATATATATTCTTCCTAGGTATGTAATAGTAAGCAATATTTGTAACTTCTTTTTTTCCTTGGATATTAATTAATATTCATCGACGTCTTACGCGATCGAGGAGTAAGTTAAATCATGGTTTGACGCCTAAATATATTTTTCACCATAAAAATGTTTTAATCTAGCTATCCTTAGTACTTATTTTAATAAATTTATTGAATCAAAGAAATTGTTTTATTTAATATTCGCCGATTATTTATATATTTGTACTTACAGGTTTTAGTTCGCTACTATAAACCATAACCTTTAAGTTGAGCGCACTCGACTTTATAACTTAAAAAATAGGCATAAGACGTGAAATAAAACACAATATAAAAATATGTATATATTATTCAACATAGTTACATAAAAATAATAATATGTAAGTAAAGGTATACTGATTTATAACACTAATATCTAATACTTACAATGACAGGACGGAATATGTTTATATTAATCACAACATTATGAATACTTATTTTATATTTAGTAAATAGTAAGTAGGTAATATTATATTTATTTACCTACCACAGGTAAAACGAGAAAGGGATGTGAAATTCTCATTAAGAAAGAATGATGTTCATTGATGCATATTCTTTTTATAAGTATTTATTTTATTCTTCTGATCTACGACACCTACTGAAGTCTGTAGTCATATTTGTAATATTAGTTGGAGTACCAAATGGGTGAGATTCAGCTACTAGTGAACAGAAAATATTACACTACAATTTAAAAAATACAGGCAGACGCAGTAAACTTAGTAATCGATCAAGTATCAAAAATTCTTGAGGAACCTAATAGTACTTAGTTGGAAGTTCAATGCCGAATAGTTAGGAGCACTTTATAAGGAAATCGAAGTATAAGTAGGATTACTGCAAAAAAGCGACAATGATTTTCAAATATGGCTACAGATTTCAGTTACATATAAATTTTACATTTCAAAAAAGTAGACAGAGATTCATATATTAAAATAAGAAAATTTAGTTACATTTGTTATATAGGTCCCAAGTAAATGTATAACTTGTAGATTTCATAATCAGTCTCAATAAAGAGTGCCTGTTTTAACAATTAGAATTATATTCGTAAAGAAGATACTCAAGGCATAGGTAACATTTCTTTTAGCTGTCAGCCTTTTATATTTACCGTACCACCACCTCTCCCATAAAATAGTTCTATATACAATGTCCACTTCTAAATCTAATTAAGTAACATATTTACTTTAATAAAGCAAATTTTAACAATTTTGTATTATAATTTCACTCGAGAAATAATTCCTTGACCTTTAGTTTTGCTTGCAATTTATACTTTGCTTATGATTTTTTCCTGTTTATTATAGACTGAAAACTGTTTAAAACATCGATACTACGTCTTACCAAAGTTAAAAATATTAAAAAAAAAACATATTAACATATCAGCAGCCATATTAGGTATGAACTAAAAACTTTGGTGACAAAATGGACTCTCAAAAGTTTCACGAGTAAAAGTCGAATAAATACATCCTAACAATAATATACACTAATCAAATTCGGTTAAAATAGACAGGCCCCTAATTAACTATTAATCCCCTGTTTGAACAGTGGTTTAGATAAGGTGGTGACACTTCATGTTTGATAATACTTATGTACTTATCTTTACAAATACATTTGAATGGAATGTATGTTACAATTACTTAAATATAATGTTTAAAATATATGACATATAATGCTTTAGGGAACGATATTATTAATTACATTTTTTTTCTCTCTAATTACAAATTAAAACTATTTTAAATTTAAAATGGACACAATAAAGATAAATCATTTATAATAAATAGTTCTGAAACAATTTCACACTTTGAGCTTTGGTTTTATATCATGAATTATTTAGCACTGATGTGCAGCTACTGTGGATGACTAGTTGGTGCAATTGTGATTTCATTGTTTCAATATGAATGTATGTATATTCCACTTTAAGTATACTACTTAATGTATTTGCACATTCAAGACCAATCAGTTTTTAATCAAAGATGTACCTACATAAAAAATACAAAAGCTTGATTAGCTTTTGCACTGGTGGCATACAATTTTAGTCGATTTTATTAAAAAACATACTATGATTATAAACGAATAAAAAAACGACCATTAACTCGATTTTATGAGCTTTTTATAAGACTTAAATATATTCCAATATAATTACTTATTTCTGTACAACAGTAAAAGCTTAAAGTATGGCCACTTGATATAAATATTCAATTAAACATTAAGTAAATAACAAATACATAAACCAAGTATAATTGAGGCTCTTAATTTGAGATTACATGTTGGTAGACTTGAGCACAGATTGAATAAAAACATACCTAAGTGTATGTAACCAGAAGATATGTATTATATGATTATCTTATATAGCTAAAGTAGCCCTCGTCACTGAAAATGACTTAATGAATGCTGTAGTAAATATAAAGTATTCAAATACAGATCTTTGTAATACAAGGCTAATAAATTTATTGTTTTCAGAGACAAAAATATTTTAATATTGCGCCGTTGCGGTCTCTTATCCTAATAATATTCATACTCGTTACATAAACCTTATCAACGCTAAAATTCTTAACTTGTAAACTAAGTACGTTTTTCCATTATGGCTAATAATATACTTATTAAATATTATGGACGGAAAGATTAGTATCATACCTTTTGAATAATGCAGTTTGTTAAAGGTGTTGGTTAGTATATTTGAACATTCTGGTGAGGAAGAGTAAAATATTTTGCAATGCCTGCAGGAGGTTTTACCTTGAGGTGCTCTTCAATGTACTGACATGGACAAACATATTTCTCACCATGACGTCCTGCCACTAGGCTGCTCAAGTTGAGTTTATTTTTAACAGCCAGTGTTCCCCATCGTCCCGCATACCGTAGGAATAGAAGAGCGCCTCTTTCCTGTAAAAGAAAAGATTAAATAAAAGTTTAAGAAAGCAATGAAACTCAAGATGAGGTTTTGTATACAATATCAAATCTGATGACTTGCCAAAAGTGGAGACATTTGGTCAGTCAAGACCACGACGTCTGAGCCAATCGTTGCAGAGCGGGCAACAAGCGCGTGTATCTCTAGGCTCTTTGTTCCGCAATACTTCCTCAACATATTGACAAGGGCAGAGCGCCTGTGTTAAATGCCGCGGGGCGGCGGGGTTGCCGCCTTCCTCGTCAAGAGTCCAGTCGAGCCTCCGGCGCAGGAAGTCTTTCCCCCACCGCTGCAGGTACCGGAGGTACACTTGCTCTGCCATACCCTGCACATTCGTATGCCTCGCTTACCCACCAAAAACTAGATGTGTCTACCAAACTAGTTAAGTGTAATATAAATAAAGGATAAGTAACTACTAACTACATTTGTATAATAAAATAAGATTCATATTAAAAGCCTTTAAACTAAGTATTTAAACAAATTGCCTGTATTCAGTTCAAATAGCTTGATTGGTTGGACTCACAAGGCACATATATTAAAGCATAAACAAATTAATATAAAAAACTAGCCATGCATTGTTAAGCAGAATCATAAACAGTATTTAGTAAGTTTGATATGTTGCATGCATAGTAAACCTTCTCAACATCAATTATGTATTATATGCAGATGTATGAAAGACGAACAAGGGAAATATAAAAGAGTAATGATGATCTCCATCACAGGGGGAAATTCAATCGAACTTGCTAAACAAATATAACACTGTAATTAGAGGTTGAAAAACCGGTCATAGATAGTGGTAGATGTTAGTAGTTAAATATACACAAAAAATAGCATTTTCTACCTAGATTGCCTAAGTTTGGTACTTGATTAATTTTTATTTGATACATTTGCACAATTTTCTCATAAACTACTTTTAATATAACTAATAATATTATTTGTCTGCAAACAATCTATTTCACTTATCAGCCAAATATTTATTACAAACATAATTATTTAAGACTAGGTACTACATTCATTGGCTAGAATAGCAATACTTTATCACAACCTAAAGGTCTATTTCAGATAGGAAAACTTCTATTTAGTAAATTTATCACATAAATTTTAAATTGTATAAATTTTTACATTTTTTTCTAAATGGGTTGAGATAGATTCGAATTTGTTAGTGACATGCTTCATGCAAAGAAATATTTGGGGCTATAGCAATATGGTAGTTTCCTACTAGTCAAATTCAATACTTTTATGTCAATATACTTTTATGTTTAATGTCAAAAACGATACTTTTCTATGAAATTTGTATGAAACACTGAGTTATGATGTCATAGTATTTTTGTATCAAATAGTTTACTTATTTCTTAAAAATTAGCTAAAAAATATCTAAAATGTAGTGTATTGATAGTTTGATGATTAAAAGTAGTTATTTTTCAACATTTTATTGTATTGAAACATTGATTTAATTTATTTTTGACCTAGGAAACTATCCAATTGTAACAAAGTCAACCATAATTACAAAATTTCCTTCTATTACTCTAGTACTAACTACAAATAAGCAGAATATAATTGATAATATACCTACAAATTATTATAGACATTTTTGTGCTTTTATAAGATTCTGCTATTTTGCTTCCAGAAGAATGGCCTTGTTCCAAATATAATAAGATTACTATTTGGTTTCTAATGAATTAGTAAGCAATAAATCATGCAAGCCAATACATAAGGTTGAAGGCATTATTTTATGTGTCACAGCATATTAGTACTTTTAGTTCTTTTAGACACCAAGTGTGAAATTAAAGCATTAGAATGCTTAGGTATGGCATAAAAATTACATTACATTAAAAACTAAGTACAGATGTATTGAAGTATCAAGTTTTATCATTATGAAATTGTAGTAACTTTGTGTGTACCACCAATATTACCTACATAACATAATATGCAAGTTTATTCAATTGAGAGGGTTACTGAACTATGTTGTCCAGTACAAATACTGTAAGAGCTGGAACTGTTATGAAAGAATAAAGTAACTAAACCAAACATACCTGTTTCCTTGACAATCTAGTAGACTGAGTTCCTTGTATAACAATATCATTAGTTGGTACATCAAGTCTCTGTTCCCAGCCCTGCATGATTGTTTTGCCTTCTTCACTTTCAATAAACTGTTGTATGTGTGCAATACATGGGCCCGAATCAAAATATATAAAGCAGAGATTCACTTTATGACAAGATATTTTTCCTCTATCATCCAGCGCCAGAATCAATTTATGTTTACTGAGTAGTTTATTAACTCTTGCCAAACATTGTTCCAATCCTTTAGAAAGTCTCAATTTTATCCACATGCACAGAAAAATTGCAGCTGCATTCAGTATCAGCCATAGGACTCCAAGAGAAAACAAGATAAGACCAGTCAGACCAGAAAACAGTAGTGCAAGTAGCACAAGGAATGCAAGTGTTATCCAACAAACAAGCACACGCTTGTAACAAATATTGTAAAGTGTAAAACGAGCATCATTAATAAGCAGTTCCATGGCATGGACATACTCCTCAACTGTAAGCTGAAAGTAAACAAACATTAACATCATGCCAGAGACATAACATCACGTAAGCCAAAAGTCACATAGAAAACTCACAGTCAGCCCTTGTGCCATCAACTCCTCAGGTACAAGTTCTGGTCGAAAACGGGCTGCTGTCACCCAAGGCCATTTTGAATTCACAGGGAGCAGAGTCACAATAATGTCACCATTCGCTGAAAGATTACATTATGTATAAAACAAAGATATGCAATGAATATTTCGCCTAGCTTACGTAAATTAGGTACTTACCGAATCCTGAACGCACATTGATAAATTCAACATTTTTAGATAATGTGTTTAATGATATGGGCTCAACATTTTTGTCTCCTCTTTCCAAATTAATGTGAACACTTTCTGTCTTTAAGACAGCAGCGGACTCAGTCGGTGCGGTGGATGTACTGGTTCCCGCGGTGGGTGGTAAACTTGATCCCTCATTTTCAGTTTTTGGAGACTCTTCATCGAATTTTACCCATCCTTTGCGAACTTTATCTTGATTTACACTGCCATTAACTTCTTTAACTTCAGAGAATTCACTGTTAATTCCTGCATTACTCATATTTTTATTTATTTCGTTACAATATTGCATAGAACCCTTGTCCAACCGATTTATCTTCCACAATTCATGAAAAAATCGTCTATATATCTATTTCGTATATTTTGCCAGGGAAATGAATAATAGAAACTTAATTAATTTAAATTATTGGAATGAGATTGGAATCAGAAAAGCTAAGCAATAAGCAATAGGAATTTTGGACGTCAGTCATAGAGACAGATGTTATGTCATGTCATGACATCACGGTCATAATGTCATAGCGATAGTCGATGGTCGTTTATTTTTGGTAAGTATATTAATGTGGTAATCCTATAGCAGGAATTGTGGTGAGAAAAATACACTGATTTTATTTTCATTTCATTATATGTTTAGATAACTAATATGTCATTAATTGAGATAAAGCTTATGAACTTACAGTGTGACTTATCAACCAATTTGAAGTCGCGCAGCGAGTTATGGAAAGGGCTAGCTTGGAATCTCTCTTAAGGATTGTACTCGAAACGCGGTGATCCGCCAGAGAACTAAAGTTATCGATATAGCCCAGAGGGCACAGTATAAATAAATAGAGAATTTATATATATACTGTGCAGAGGGTTAGCAAACTGAAGTGGCAGTGGGCAGGTCACATTTGTTGAAGAACCGATGATCGTTGGGGTAAACGTGTTCTAGAGTGGACACCACGTCTAGACAAACGTAGTCTAGCCCTTCAGCTAGTTGGACTGACGACATCCGCAGGGTTTTTTTTGTGAGGGGAAAATCATCAAATGACTTCTCCCGCCCAGGGCCGGGCAGGAGGGAGTGTCAGAGTCTTACTGACTAAAAACCCCCCTGTTCCTTCTCCTGCTCTGTGCCGAGGTCGCGGTACCTCATTGCGCTTACCCCGCAACCCCGGCAACATCAGCCCCGTCTGTGGTGGTCGAATGGCTCTTTGAGGCGCGCGCGGAACGCTACGCGCCATACGCTCGGGCCTGGTTCTGGTCGGGCGGCGAGCTGCCCTTACTCGCCGACCGCAGGCCCGTGCCTACGGTGGCCGGAGATCGTCCCTCGATCCCCGACGCCCGTAGTGCCAGTTGCGGCTGCTGGGGCGTGAGGAGGATTGCTCCCTCACGCGGGCCGCCTCTCTCTTTGCGAGCATGACTGCTTCACAAAAGGAGGAGACGGCATCCCAGTTCCTCTCACTCCGCACCATGGCCTCGACTAAGGCCGGGCGCGAGAGGTCGCTGCCGCCGATCACTTCCCTGAGGATACGGCGGTGCTCAGCCCAGGCAGGGCATACCGCTACCGTATGCTCCACCGTATCCTCTAGGTGGTCCTCACAATGACGACACTCGGGCGTTTCCTCCCGCTGGATCCGAAATAGGAACCTACCGAAGCTGCCGTGCCCGGTAAGCACCTGCGTCAGGCGGAAGGTGAGGACGCCGTGGCGTCTCTCAAGCCACTCCTCAAAGACGGGTCTTACCGCTGCTATAGTAGCGTGCCCGGCCCTCGGTTGCGACAGTCGCTGCTTCCACTCAGCTATGAGATCTCGCCGGAGCTCATTCCGCCACGCACTAATTTGGCGCGGCAGAGGATCCTCGCCCCGGCGACGCGCGTCTGCGCGCAAACTGTAGACGCGCGCGAGCGCCTTCGCTTCCAGATCCCATGGCGGTGATCCGGCAAGGAGGTTCGCCGCCTCACCGGAGATCGTGCGATATATAGCCATGACCCTCTGGGACGTGACCAGCGTACGAGCCGGCCGCCGCTTCAAGTCCGGCGCCCACACAGGTGCCCCTGGGTGGGCGCCGTAGAGGGCCATGGATCACACAATCCCCATATACAACCTCCGGCAGGAGGCATTTGGCCCCCCGAGGTTGAGAAGGAGCCGCTTGAGCGCGGCCCCAGACCGTTCCAACTTAGGAGCCAAACGACGAAAATGCTCCGTGAAGTTCCCGATGGAACTTCACCTACCTACCTACGTACCTAGGTCTCGTCCTCGACAGCCGATGCTGTCGAGGACGAGACCCAGAGTACAGAGTAGAGATACAGAGTACTTCATCGCCGACTCGACGCCGATGGTAACTCCTCCTGCCGTTATTTGGGATCCATCTGGAGGTGGCGCGTTCCGCCGGCCATAAAAAGACATGGCCTCGGACTTGTGAAACGCCACCTCGAGTCCCAACTGCCGGATCCTTGCAACGACTGTCGCGACCGCTTGCGACATCAAGTCGGCCGCCGCCTGATGTGACCTCCCATTCGCCAGCACCAGCGTGTCGTCAGCATAACAAACAATGCTGTCGCCGCTCGGGAGGTCGGTGCGTGGCACCCAATCGTACCCGATGTTCCACAGGAGAGGTCCTAGGACCGATCCCTGTGGAACGCCGCGCGATACCTCTCGCCGATTCCACACGCCCCGGTGACCGGGGTAGATTACGCATCTGTCCGTCAAGTAAGCCTCGACTACACGACGGGACATCCGCAGGGTGGCTGGGAGTAGTTGGATGAGAAAAGCTTAACATCGAGCTCAGTGGCATGCAATTGGGGAGGCCTATGTCCAGCAGTGGACGACATCGGGCTGATGACGAAGATAAGATAAAACTGTTTCTAACCAACAAACAGTTTGATCACATTTAAGTATATTATACTAGCTTATGCTCGCGACTCCGTTCGCGTAGAATAGTGTTTTCCTGCAGATTTTTTGGTATAAAAACTCTCATATGTCCTTTTTCGAGTTCCAAACATGCCGTACCGGATCAGCACAAAAATCGGTTCAGTAGTTTAGGCGTGAAGAAAAGACAGACATACAGAGTCACTTTCACGTTTATAATATTCATTTGGATAAGTAGGTATATAAAATATTTTGATAAATATAATATTAAGTACCTGTATTTAATGAAATAATTTATTGGTTGAGTGACCGCCACCGCGACTGTCGATGACGAGCATGAAGTAGTTATCGGGATCGATATCCTGGTCGACCAAATATGATTATTTTTACTCGTAGTTTTAATCTGAATTCTTCTGTGGATGAAAGATTTAATAAGCTTTCATATATGTATTAACTGGTAAAAAGCGTGTCCACAAAATAATAGTGCACCTCTGCCTCAGTGTTCTGGTATTAAAGGTCATCATTATCATTAGGTGGATATGTTATAAATAAATCGATTTTTTTTTATTTAATAGGTCGGCAAACGAGCAGACGGATTACCTGATGGTAAGCAATCAATGCCGCCCATGGACACCCGCAACGGAGGAGTTACGAGTGCGTTGCCGACCTTTTAGAGATTAGGGATTTGGAAATTTAGGGATTGAGGAGGGATTGGGAGAGGGGAAGGATTGAGCGTCCGGTAACCTCACTCACACGGCGAAACACAACGCTGTGGTTGTTTCACGACGGTTTTCTGTGATGCCGTGGTATCACTCCGGTCGAGCCGACCCATTCGTGCCAAAGCATGGCTCTCCCACACTTAAATATTATAGTGTATTTTCCTTGCTATATTTATTTATTTATACTTCATGCACAATTTGTTTGTAGGTACATAAGGCGGACTTAATGCATTGAGCATTCTCTACCAGTCGACCTTTGGGTGATGCAGAGAATCCAATATCCTATATATTATCGTAATGTACCTACTTTACTACTTACGTACAGCAAATTGCAAATCTACTTTCCTATTTCTCGCTCTATCTCTTAAGTTTCTATAAAACTCAAAGCATTTTGTTCTTGCTACGTTGAGAGTTATGAACTGCTGGATTATAGTCTGCTCTACATACACCTCCTATGTTTGTTTCTGATTTGACTGAGAGTAATAAGAGCCCATAAATAGATACTAGCAACAGCCAGAAATCTTACAAGTAGGTACGTAGCCAGCCGCTTCGGGTTTGGGATTTGTATTACTATTCAGTCGATAACAAGTAACTCTGAAATCTACACCCTAACTATACAAAAGAAACGCACAGGGAAGTACCTAGGTAAAATGTATACACAGGTAAGTCAAACACGTAAAACGAAGGTCAATGCCCTCAATCGAGTAACACATACATATATGTATAATATGGATGTTGAATAGCTGTCATTCGGGTGATAACATGATTTGCGAGCAAATGCGTTAAGAAATGTTAAAACCTTTGAATATAATTTTTGAGGATAAAGTCGTTTATAAATAAATGGGACTACCGACATACAGAAGACACAACTTAAACAGACTGCGGGGACAGACCTACACGCTGTCCTATGCTGAGCTACCTGCGTACCTGCTCGGAGCCGAAGTGACCGAAATGTCGTTTGACCGGTTCTCCTGCTCGCACTCGTGGGCTATTATCTCTTGCAAATTCCCTCCCAACGACCGATTGGTTCGCCCACCATACCTACACATACCGTTTGACAAACGGTCAGATTTTGTCCTCATGTGGCCAAACAACAGTCGTGGGTGCTTCGTACGTTGTAAAGTTATAGTTGCACAGCTCGTCGAACTTGCTGTTATTGTTTAACATTCAAAATACATATGTGCGCAATATTGCTATAAATAAATAGTTATCATAACTTCACACATTTTTTTAAATAATGCGCGCGACGTGGAATGTGTAATGTTGTTATTATTATAAGAATTTTAAGTGGTGTTGTTGTGTTTTGGTGAATGTTTTAAATGTGATAAAAATTTAATTCTGTAGTTTAATTAAAATGTGAATTACTTAACTTCTTTTTTAGAGATTTCAAAATCATGAATCGCGATTCCTCCAGAAATATGGAATCATTACCTAAACAGTTTGTTTCGGCTATGCGCACCCTGTTCGATATTATGGACGACAAGCACACGGGGTATGTAAAACTCACCGATATAGAAAACCGTTGGAGGGACGATCGCACACGAGGCTTACCTCGAGGAGTCATAGAAAGTCTACAGAAAGTTGCCTCACCCGAAGGCCTGTTAACATTTGAAAGATTCTGTACTGGGCTCAAAATATGCCTGTTACGTAATCAAGTTGATAACAATTCTGGCAAAGACGACAGATTTAGCGATGTTATTGAAAACACAGGATTACATTCACAAATGGTCCCTCAAACACATCGGCCGCCATCGGCACCGCTTTTAGATGTAAACGATTCCCAAAACATCGACCGGAATTGGATGGTTTTAAAAAGTTCTGAATCTTCTTCACAGCACCGAACAATAAGTATGCCACAACTAATAGGACGAAAAGAGGTCTTACTTCAAGAACCTCGACACTTAGGACCGGGGTCTATTTCAAAACACGATGGCTCTCGAAGAGTTTATGGCCCTCCAAAACCACCACGACTTGAAAAACCGACTACGGAAAGAAATGAAACATCCAAATCTAGTTATAAATCTGAAGAAGAGATTGTATTTGAAGGTGAAGAGCTATCTGTGGATAAGATCGATTTTGAAGAAATGTCTCGAGCCGTAGAGGAACAAAGTAGAGGTTTAGGTGATGGAAGATCAGCGAATGAAACTCAATCTCAAATGCGAAGAGTCTCACGTCGGCGTGAACCTCGACGCCACACTTTACACAATGGTGTGGATTACAATCTTTTAAAACGCATGAAACAGATAGAGCAGGAGAAGGATGTTTTGCTGCAAGGCTTATCAGCTGTAGAAGAAGCTCGAGAGTGGTATTTGAAGCAGTTAGCGGAAGTTCAAGAAAAAATGCGTTACGCGGGCAGAATGGGCGCATATGTGGTAATTATTACTTTTATTATAATTATATCTGGATACTTATTTCGATTTAACGATTTCTCGTTTTTACTTAGATTTTATTTAAAAACTCCAAAATTGTAACTAAAACGTGTTAAAAGGGTTTTACGACAGAGAAGACACATGCAATCTTTCGTGACCAAGGAAGAAATTCAAGTAATAAATTCATATTAGGTAGGTACTTATATTATGTTATTTTACCAAGTAAGTAACATAATTAAATTCAAAGGTGTCATATTTAATAGGTATATGTAATAATAAAATAAGCTTAGTTCTTGAATATTTTTTCAAAGAAAAATGTCTGGCAGTAAACGCTGCCTAGGCACGTTTTCGGGTCATGGCCGAACAAGTTTTTTGCTCAGTAGGTAGGTATGGGTACATTCTCGAATGAATACCTAATTAGTTCTCATAATATATTTATGTAGGAGTATATAGATTCTAACTTGGCAATTTGACGCAACATGCATAGTATACCTAAAATAGAATTTTATTCCGAAGATACAATAAAGGAACGAAGGTTTATGGTACAAAAAAGTTTTGTAAAAACATTGAAAATTTGCATAGGCCTTCTTATAGCAAATTAAACAAGAGGAAGTAGAAAGCTGGCCTTTTCTGAATCGGTCATTCCAGCAAAGCAGTAGGCAGAGCGCGTGAGAGAACGACCTACCCCTAGCCACCGCATGCGACGCGACGCTCCTAGGTGGAGGATCGTGCCACAAATCTTCAGCAACCGTTGCCGTAGATCTACGATGACTATTACAATAGCTCACAACCCGATGAGAAAAAACGAGGTAGTCAGTTACGAGTCTGACACTGTCTCGCCCCATGCAGGACAGAAAAACATTGGATGATTACTTATCATTCTACTACTTATCATTAGTTCATTAATTTAACTTTTGTTAAGGTTTTCAGAATCCGAAAAGGCGTAGTCACACGTTGTCAAAGTGTTACGGTAGGTTGGTATATGAAATGTGTATCTAACTACGCCTTTCAGTATTCTGAAAACCTTGTTTTATACTTTTTCAGCGTCGTTTTTGTCGTAGTTGAGTTTTAGATTCTTTACTTTTTAAGATTGTTAATGCAAAGGGTGACAACTAACAGTAGTTTTATGAATATTACAGGAACCATGGAGTGAAGCACATCAAGAGCGTTTGGAATTACTAAAAGCGCGAATTTTGGAACTCAATCGTCAGTTGGGAGCATTGGCAGCAGGTTGGCGACATGGGCAGCTGTCGCTTCATATGAACCTTGCATTGCCTGCTGCTTCGCTGTCTACTACAGGAAGTAGTGCTACACCAAACAATGCAGCAGTACTTCGGTCACAAAACCGCATGCTTGCAGAGGTATTAAATGCGTCTAATAAATTTTTAGTTTACAAAATTATGAATGTTGATTTTTTTCAGCGGCTGAACGACCGTATGCGCTATGTCGCGGGTGCGAATAGCAGTCGGCAAACATTTTCACTTTCACTCAGCAAATATTTATGTTTAATCCACATTTTGTTCTTACCCCGGGATAAGGCTTAAGAGTGTAGATTTCTGTGAATGAGTTACATTAAAATAAATGAATAAAGAAGAAACCATACCAAAATCTTCTCAAAATATAAATAATAGTTATGTTTATGACTACCTTTGGGGTTTAGAATGATTAAATGAAGTTAAATAACAATAAGAACTATCAATATTTTCATATCATATAAGACTTAAGTGATTGTTTTTATATTTCCAGGAAGTAAACAGAAAAAACGAGAGAATAACAGTTTTGGAACGTGAAAAATCAGCGCTCATCAGAGAACTACTTCTACAAAGGAACAGATCAAAACTAATTGATACATTTACATAGCTAAATTAATTTATGACTACTATACTCAGGGTCATTTAATGGTTACTTAACCCAGTACTTATGAAAGGTTTTTTCGGAAAAAAAACAACTACCTAATAGTCTAAATAAATTTTAATGTCTTCAAGTACGGCTGTAAGACTTTCTATTGTATGTAGAAAATCTTTTAAGAATTTTGTAATCAACTATTTTTTATTATAGAACAAAAGTCGTTGAATGTGATCTGTTGTTTCTTTGACAAGTTCATTCCAAAATTTAGATTGTTTTCAATGAGGTTATTATTTTGGTTGCAATCTATTTTATGAATAATCTTAATATTGTGTAAACGTCGGGAAAAAACTTTAAAGTAAATAGTAACAAACAATATTTATAGAAGTAACTGAGATGTGTGATTGATTTATGGATACATTAAACAATAATATAACATAATAATTATTATCTATTTATAACAATAGCATCAGAATCATTATTCTATTACAAAAGATGTATTATTTACAAATGTTTAAATATAAATTAAACAATTATATTCTAGTGCCATAAGTTTGTTTTTGGGCTTCCTACAAAGTAGTGCAATAAAAGAGGTCATTCAACTATAGATTCTATTTTATTTAAACTAATGTATGTAATTACACAACAAATGTATATTATTACACAAGTACTCAAACAGTATTTGCATTTTTATTGTATAAAGAATAATCATACTCCCTGAATGGGACATCATAAGTGAGATAGCCCTGGTCCCAAGCTCTCTCAATAGCAACCAATAACTCCTTATGTTTCTTCTGGCAAAGTCCAGTCTTAAATGCATCCAATATCTGAAAATAAATGACATATTAGTAATTATTTACAATTGTTCTTATTTTTTAGCGAATATTTTATGTAAAGCATTCAAACATATTATCCTAATTTACCTGTCCAGTGTGTTCTGATATAAATTGTTCCAGAAGTTTAGTGTTCCTATGATCCAATACTAAATATTCATCTCGGCATATAGGGCAAGGGTTACCAGTAGATATTACTCCATTTCTAACACAAGATTTTCTAGTTTTACGTGGAGCAAAACCACCTATGTGGTTACGTCGATACAATACCCAAATTGCCTTGTCTCCATAAGCTTGTTGGTAAGCCTTACTTTGCATATATTTAATACTGGTTTCAACAGGTATTATTTTTGTTCTGTCTTTTGTAGGATCAATTTCTTTCTGATCTTCAGTAGGTTCATCGGTTTGATCTGAATAAAACCGAATATTGGTCCTAAAGTCAGGTAAAGCCAGTCTTCGAAATAGTGAACGAGCGCTAAATGATAGTGCCATAGTAATGTATTGTTTATGGAGATGTAATTGTTAATTTCGATTGAATCGCAAATATTGGCAAACACTTGAACCAAACATTTGACACATAACCTAAAACTTTGGAATATAATTGACACTGTCACACTGACAGATACAGAACTACAGACTCAGTATTAAGTAAACAGAAAAATACAATAAAAAAGGAAATGTCAAAAGGTATTTAAATATCATTTCATAACGTTTCAAAATTAATTTTATTAAGAAAACGAAGCCATAGTCATCACATCTGCCAAAAGCATGGGTGCAAGCGCAGTGACGTAACATGTTGGAGTAAGAGAGGTACATAATGGGGCGGTATATTTAGTCAGGGAACATGGGGAACAATTCGATGCTCCCTCTATCTAAAGAGACAGATAATGAAAATAATTGAATACATCGTCGTTTTGAGTCTCTGACTAGTTTATAGATATTGTATAGTCTATGGTTTATAGTTATCTGTGGTAATGGTCGACGGTCGTTGCATTCGTTGTCTGATTCGATTTGAATTTTGAAAGTAACTAGATTGTTATATTGTAATTTACGAAGTGAACTATATAAAGGAATTACTCAAACTTCAAGCGAGAAGGTAATTATTAAATGCTTATAATGTACAAAAATTAGTGTTACTCGTGAGTCTCATAACAATCTTTTGTTAGTTACTTTTAGTGACGAGAGTATATTTTGTGCCTAGATCATTGAGATCAGTTGTATCCCCTTTTTTTTATTTCGCAACGACGTGCTATGTAAGACAGGTGTGAATGCTATTCTAAAAAATACATTAAATTATTTTCAGCCAACTTAATATACATAGTCGACGATTTTTGAATAAAATGGCAGAACTGCTACCTGGTGGAGATGTTGGTGTTATGTAAGTACTATTTGCATAGCATATGTTCATTGAAACTTTTAAATTGATAACAGATCAAGAAGGAACCTCATGAGATTTTTAGATAAACCTACTTTTCCTACCTATGTTTTATTTAATTACATCTCAATTTTATGTCAGTCATACTTAACATAATATCTTACTAACTGTATAGAAGTTTTTTATTTGATTTTCGGTTCTTTTTGAACAATTTTGTAGTTCTAGTTATTAATAAATCATATTTACTGGTGACTGCTTCTGGTTATACTTAATCTTAATCTTAGTTATTTCAGTTCATTTTCTTGTATTTTTGTTTACATACAAGAAAATTTATATTCTGTTTAAATTCCAGATTAACTTATAGAAACCAAAACATAAATGAAATGTATGTAAAAAAAATGTATATACTTAAATGATACAACAATTAATTTTATTTTTTACTTAGAACCAACATATTTTGTTGTGCAAGATTATCCTAATGTCCTATTTATTTTGGAATTGAACCAATGTAGACTAATTTTTTTATTATCTCTCCTTTTCTACAATTTCCTTCTTTCAAACAGTCCCCTGATATTAGCAAACAAACGATAAAACGGTTTTTAGGAATAAGTTGTAAGTTTATAAAAAAACTCTCATGAAGACAGTAATTCGTAATAGTATAAACAAGGGCGGATCCAGCTTTGTAGCCAGGAGGGGGTCAAAAAGTTAAAACTTAATTTTGTGACAATACATACAAGTAAAAAATAGGTATTTCAAGAATGTAAATTTCTATTGTACTTTTAAACTGCACACTTGGTGCAGTGGCTGGGCAACTGACTGGTGTGCAACATGTCTTGGGTTCGGAATGATATTTCTATTGTTGCTACACTGACAGCTAGTGTAGTCATAATACATAAATATTTTTCTAATAGCAGTATTTGAATGTGGTATGACTCCACTGCAGCGCTTTCCCCTTCAGCATCCACAGCTGAACTTAATTTACAATGGCAAAAACTGGAGTGTTTTCAAGTAATATATTTTTTCGGTAGGTAGCTAGTTGTTTCACAGTAACAATATCAATTTTATGATATTCGCTAAGTCTGCTGACAAGGTCGACAATCCTGGAGATCACTAATAATAGTATATTATTTGGATACTATTAGGGATATTTAGGGATTTAATTTTTAAATCTATCCGCTCAGCTACTTTTGCGCATCACCAGAAAGCTGTCGGTTGATTGTGTATAAATTTTCTCTATTATTGTGCAATAGAAAGTATCGAATTGTGTCGATAAGGGCCCGCAAGGGTCACAGGAACTCTTAGAGGAGTGGCTAGAGAGACTCCATGGTGTCCTCACCTTCCGCCGCCTTTACTGGACACGGATGCTTTAGTAGGTACCTCTTTCTAAACACCGCCCGCGCCGTCTCCTCAGGGAAGTGATTGGCGGCGGCGACCACCAATCACCTTCCCCTTCCTTAGTCGAGGCCATGGCGCAGAGCGAGACGAACTGTCTCTTTTTTCCGCAAATCAGTGAAGCTTGCAAAGAAGGAGGCGAACTGCTTGAGGAGTCTATTTTCCTCACGTGTTGGAGACATTCCCGGCTTCGGGGATCGCGAGACGGTCTCCGGCCAGCAAGGTTAACTCGTCACCCAACCACATCCAGACCCGACCGTAAGGTGCGTACCACCATAGATGCAGTCCAACAGAGCTGATGATCAGCAAGCGCAAATAGGTACCGTGACCTCAGCCTACAGCGGGAGAAAAAGGGGAAGTTCTTTAGTCAGTAAGAGTCTGATACTCCATATGCTCCCAAACGTTTGCCATCATGCAGTCATCAAGGTATACCTATATTACATAAGTTAATTATGAAGGTGAAGTATAAGTAAAATATACCACCACAATATATAGGTACATGTCCACCTAAGTCCCTGAACCAGCCTAGGGGCTGAACCACTTCCAAATTTATGCGTGTCAGTCTGTCCGTCTGTCCTCTAGCGAAGCTATTTGCTCGTTCCAAAGTGTAGATTCCGATGGAGAAGAACGAGCAAGAAACTCCATGGTTACTCTTTTTCAATCACTTTTACAATTCATTTCTTTGTTACTTACATCATTTAGTTGGTTCAGATATGTGAGAACAGTGTAACACTAATGTTTAGGCAACGAATTAGAAAAAGAAGTTAACCTCAGGGCCTTACTTAGCCTTACTGTGTGTTCTTTTTTGTATTTATCACGGGGAGTGTTCTGAGCAATTGTTCGGTTTGATCCCTGCCGCATCTTTTCGCCATCCCTACACATACCCCCCACTCATCACATAGATGGTTGGTAGTCAACAACTGTGCGATTCACGCGAGTCAGTAAGATTCTTGTTCGCTCCAAATTTTTTATTATCTATAATTACTTTATGGTCACGCGACGCGACGTATTTGTTATTTTTTTTCTTTTTAAAGGGAGGGATTTTAGTTTTTTTGCCGGTGGTTTTATATATATTTTTTTGGTATCGTGTTGGAAAATCCTCATGGAGACCCACCGCCCTCGGGGAAGGGCGAAGGGTACTGTCACACTCTCATTGACTAAAAACCAACCCGGTGTTCCTCCATTTACACATGTGTCGGAGGGGCGGGTATCGCCGAAGCATTCGTCGCATCCCCCAGACGGGTATTGGCCCGCCATTATCATGCGGGCCCCGTCACCCCGACCGCAGGACTTGTCTGTGAGGCGCGCACGCGGAACACGGCGCCACCGTCTCGAGGCGTGCTGCTGGTCGGACGACAAGACGCGCCGAGTCTGTCGTCCGCAGGCCGCGCCCTACGGTGGCCACTGGCCACAGGTCGGCCACCCTTCGACGTCTAGTGCGTCTGCTGCGGGAGGGGAGGCAGCCTCTCTCTCCCTTCTCGCCGCCTCCTTTGCGAGCATCACGGCCTCGCAATAGGTAGCGACGGCACTCCACCCTGATTCGCTCCCGACCATAGTAGACACTACAGCCGGAAGCGAGAGAATTCCCGCCGCACCTACGGCCGCGACCAAGTCACAGCGCTGCTCAGCACAAGCTGGGCACTCCGCCAACGTATGCAGCACCGTATCGTCGCAACAATCACCACAATGGTGGCACTGACACGTCGGCTCCCGGCCTATGCGACACAAGTACTTCCCGAAACACCCGTGTCCGGTAAGCACCTGCGTCGGCCGGAAGCTGGGGGCGCCGTGGCTCCTATTGAGCCACTTCTCTAGAACGGGCCTTAGCGCCGCTACAGCGGCGTGCCCCACACTCGAGTATATTTGCAGACCTTCGGTTAACCTTCCCACATACACCCCATAATTTTTTAACGGCTCTACCGATTTTCATCAAACATGTTTAAGAACACTTGCAAGTAAATTACCTTTAATACAAAAAAAATACTCACTTGAAATCACTCCATCCGTTCAGGCTCCAGGATGCCACAGACATACAGACCCGTCAAAATTATAACACCTCTCTTTTTTCCGTCGGGGTTGCTTGCCCCTTGGGGTTGCGGGGCAAGCGCAATGAGGCATCGCAGCCTCGCAGCTGAAGAAGGTACGGGGGTTTTTAATCAGTAAGTATCTGACGCTCCCTCCCGCCCCTCCCTGGCCGGAAGACGTCATTGGATGATTTTCCCCTCACAAAA